TGCCTGGAAAACCCCCGTGGATTGAAGAGCCTGGTGGGCTACAGTCCACAAAGAGCGACTGAGCACAGTGTATGCAGTCGGTAAATGTTAGCCGTCATCATTACTACTACTTATGTTCTCTGCCACTTTAAGCGCTCTGGGATGTTCTGTTTTGTCATATCAGGATAACTTTTGGTGCTTTCAATAGATTTTTCTTTATCAAACTACACATTTCTGTCTTTTCTCTTAGATCTTGTAAGTTGTATATTTTATTCTCAGCAATATTCTTTGTTAGGATTCTTGGATAGGACTTAACCTACTTTTCCTCTCCTTCTGAAATGTACATAATATTGTTGAGAACCCAGAATATACTTTGAGAGATCTACTAGATGAATAATAAATATGGCCCTTTATCTTTCCAGTCTTATGATTGTCATCATGCCCTTCAAAGTTGCATTACATCTTTCCATAAGTGTTCTGCTGCACTGTGGATGTTAAGGCATTTTCAGATATATTTAACATCAATCTGTCCTTATAAGCATTGCATACATGCCGCGTGCATACTAAATTGCTTCTGTCATATCTGACTGTCTGTGACCCTATGGACTGTAGCCCGCCTCTCCTCTGTCCATGGGATTTCCCAGGCAAGAATACTGGACTGGGTTGCCATGGCCTTCTCCAGGGGATCTTCTTGACCCAGGGATTGAACCCGTGTCTCCTCTGGCTCCTGCATTGCAGGCGGATTCTTTTTTTTTTTTTCCATTTATTTTTATTAGTTGGAGGCTAATTACTTTACAACATTGCAGTGGTTTTTGTCATACATTGAAATGAATTAGCCATGGATTTACATGTATTCCCCATCCCGGTCCCCCCTCCCACCTCCCTCTCCACCCCATCCCTCTGGGTCTTCCCAGTGCACCAGGCCTGAGCGGATTCTTTACTGCTGATCAACCGGGGAAGCCCTTTTAAGTGTTGAGTAACTTATGAAAAGAAGTAGGTCACGTGTTCTCTAATGGGAACTATAGGGAGAGAGATTGCATTCAAATGATTGTACTTTGGACTTCAGTACTATTGTTTTGTGGCAATAAAACAGTATTTTTTTTAAATTATTTTTTGAAATTGAAGTGTTGCTGTACAATATCATGTAAGTAACAGGTGTACAATATAGTGATTTACAACTTTTAAAGGTTCTATTCCATTTATGTGCATGCTTAGTTGCTCAGTCATGTCCGACTCTTTGTGACCCTTTGGACTGTAGCCCTCTAGGCTCCTTTGTCCATGAGATTTTTCACGCAAGAATATTGGAATGGGTTGCTGTTTGCTTCTCCAGGGGATCTTCCCGACCCAAGGATCGAACCCATGTCTCCTGTATCTCCTGCATTGCAGGTGGATTCTTTATCTACTAAGCCACTGGGGAAGCCCTATTTCATTTATAGTCATTATAGAATATTGGTTTTATTTTCTGTGCTGTACAGTGTATCTTTGTAGCTTATTTTATTTTAAATTTAAAAAGTTATTGGAGTACAGTTGATTTACACTGTTGTGTTAATCTCAGGTATACATCAACAATCTTGGTTTGTAGTTTTCTTCTCTTGTATTATACTATCCTTGTCTGGTTTTGGTATCAGGGTGATGCTGGCCTTGTCAAATCAGTGTGTAAGTGTCCCCTTCTCTTCAGTTTTTTGAAATAATTTGAGAAAGATTGGTGTTAATTCTTTAAACTTCTGGTAGGAATTTACCACTGAAACCATCTAGTCCTGGACTTGTCTTTATCAGGAAGTTTTTGATTACTTATTAATTTTCTTACTTGTTACTAGTATGTTTGTGTTTTCTATTTCTTTATGGTATTTCACTGTTGGTAGGTTGTATATTACTAGAAATTTATCCACTTCTTCTAGGTTATTCAGTTGTTGGCATATAATTGTTCATAGTAGTTTCTTATGATTCTTTGTGTTTCTATGGTATCAGTTGTCTCCTCTTTCATTTCTTTAATATGTGAGTCTTTCTCTATTTTTATTCATCTAGCTAAAAGTTTGTCAATTTTTTTAATCTTAAAAAACAGCTTTTGTTTTAGTTGAGCTTTTGTATTGTCTTTATGGTCTCTATTTTATTTATTTCCCCTCTGATCCTTGTTATTTCGTCAACTAACTTTGATCTTAGGATTTTTGTTCTTTTTCCTTGAAGAAATTAGATAAAAAGTTAGTTTATTTGAGATCTTTGTTCTTATGGTGGACATTTTCACTATAAACCTTCTCTTAAAACTACTTTTGCTGAATCCTGTAAGTTTTGGTATGCTCTGTTTTCATTTGTCTTAAGATACTTTTTGACTTCCCTTTTGATTTCTTTTTTAAATTAATAATCTTAAAAACTGCTCAAATATATTTTTGGCCATTGAGCCTATTATCATATTTTTTTTTCATTTGATTTATGGATAAGTTAAATTATATTCCTAGATTTCCTAGTATTAAATCATCCTTTTATTCCTGAGGAGACAACATAATTACAGTATATTCCTTTAATATATTATTAGATCAGTGAATTAGTACTTTATTTAAAATGTTTGCATTTGTATTTGTAAAAAGATTTCTCTGTTTTTAAGTGCAGTCATTTTTTTCAGGTTTTGTTATCAAAGCTGTAGTAGTTTTAGAATATATTTCAGAAGCTATCTATCTTTCTCTGTAGTTAGAAATTTAACAAATGACATAGGGATTATCAGTTCTTTGAGATTTGAAATATTAACTTTTAATAATATCATTTAAGATTGACACTTGTGGGAAGTAGGTTTTTGGATATCTGAGTTTCTTTCATCATTATTCCTGTGTCGAGGTTTTTCTGCTTTTGTATTTTTGAGTTAGCTTCTGTATTTCCGTCTCCAGTGATCAGTGATAATGTGCATCTTTTCATCTGCTCACTGGCTATTTGTGTTATCTTCTTTGGAGAGATGTCTATTCAAACCCTTTGTTCATTTTTTAAAATTTATTTTTTTATTGAAGAATAATTGCTTTACAGAGTTTTGTTGTTTTCTGTCAAACCTCAATATGACTCAGCCATAGGTATACATACATCCCCTCCCTTTTGAACCTCCCTCCCATCCCCCTCCCCACCCTACCCCTCCAGGTTGATACAGAATCCCTGTTTGAGTTTCCTGAGCCAGACAGCAAATTCCCGCTGGCTATCTATTTTACATACAGTGATGTAAGTTTCCATGTTACTCTTTCCATACGTCTCACCCTCTCCCCATGTCCATAAGTCTATTCTCTATGTCTGTTTCTCCACTGCTGCCCTGTAAGTAAATTCTTCAGTACCATGCTTCCAGATTCCATATATATGTGTTAGAATATGATATGTATCTTTATCTTTCTGACTCACTTCACCCTGTAATAGGTTCTAGGTTCATCCACCACATCAGAACTGACTCAAATGCTTTCCTTTTTATGGCTGAGTAATATTCCACTGTGTATATGTACCACTACATCTTTATCCATTCATCTGTTGATGGACATCTAGGTTGCTTCCATGTTCTCAAAGTTCAGTTCAGTTCAGTCACTCAGTTGTGTCCGACTCTTTGTGACCCAATGAACCACAGCACACCAGGCCTCCCTGTCCATCACCAACTCCTGGAGTTTACCCAAACTCATGTCCGTTGAGTCGGTGATGCCATCTAACCATCTCATCCTCTGTCGTCCGCTTGTCCTCCTGCCCTCAATCTTTCCCGACATCAGGGTCTTTTCAAATGAGTCAGCTCTTTGCATCAGGTGGCCATGTTCTAGCTATTGTAAATAGTGCTGCAATGAACAACGAGATACTTGTGTCTTTTTTCAATTTTGGTTTCCTCAGGTAAACCCTTTGTTCATTTTTTACTGGAATTTTTCATTATTGTTTATTTTTATTATTTTATTATTTTTAAAAATTTTGCAACAGTTCTTTATATATTCTGAGTACAATTCCTTTATCAAATATATGATCTGCAAATATTTTGTTCCATTCTGTCAGCTGTCTTTATTGTTTTGATTATATCATTTGAGGTTTTTAATTTTGATGAATTTAAATTTATCTGCTTTTTCTTTTGTCGGTGTGCTTTTGGTGTCATATCTAAGAAAGCATTGTTTAACTCAAGGTTGTGAATATTTACTTCTATATTTTCTCCTAAGTATTTTATAATTTTAGCTTTTACATTTGGGTCCATAATTCATTTTGAGTTAACTATTTGTATATAATGTGATATATAGTTCCCTCTTTTTTCTTTTGCACATGGATGTCTAATCATCCAAGCACTGTTTGTTTGAAAGGCTATTCTATTTTCTATCATTCAATTTTAGTCTTTACATGGGTTTTTGCTTGAGCACTCTATCAGAGTCTTTGCTTTTTCATTTAATATAAAAGTTTAACTCATTTACATGTATTATTGTTGATTTAGTTCATTTTACTTTGGAAATATTTAGATTTTCTGATTTTTATGTTTTTTTTGTTTTATTGTTGTCACTCAATGCGTAACCTTTAAAAAGGTTATTGCCTTTCCTTTAGGTTTATAGAATAGATATTTGTGTATATTTTATTTCTTTCTGCTGATAGTAAGAAACCCTCAATAATATTAATTTTGTAAACCACATATACCAATGATCATTACTTGAGAGTCACATTTCAAGTTGCATTAAGTGTAAATATACAATTCATAAGTATAAATACAGATAATTGTGTTACAAAATTTTTAAGGATAATGAAATATGATGGCAGATATTCAGAGGACTTGATCTGAAACTGAAATGTCTTTTATTAATGTATAATAATAATGATAAACATGTTAGACATACAGTGTAATTGTCTTAATAGCTATTTTTTACTTGTCCTTGTTTAGTAGTTAGTTTTTACTTCTGGAATATCATTCAATGCTTGAAATATGTATTTTAAGGCCCCAAAAATACATATATCAAGATAATGTTGTTTAACATCACCAGAATTCTCCAATAAAATGAAGTTCAAGCTCATGAAATGTATTTTCCTATTTTCATACTTTATCATAGGAAGCATATTCTTTGATTGAGAAGACCGAAGCAGAACAAAGTATACAATATTCATATCAGAAATATGTGGAAACTGCCGAAAGAAAGAAAAGCAGGGTCCCTCCTCCACCCATCCTGCTGTCCCGAACTTACCGTTCTGTGACATTAAAACCTGCCCCATTTATTTCTGATGTTAAGGTATGTTGTCTATTTTGATCTTTACCTCAAGGAAAGCATCAAAGGTACTTCAATAACTGTAATGATTGATAGTTTTATTGCTTTTAGCACTTGGATAGTCTTATTTATAAACCGTGAACACTGAGATTAGTATTTTAATGTCTTAACTACACTTAGTTTCTTCATGACGCTTTTGCCTTTATGCTATTTCCCCTTTGGCTCCATAGAGCTTTGCTACACCCAAATATATAATAAGGAGAAATAAGAGAGAAGCATTTCTCTCGAAGTACCTTCATCACCATGACAGTCATACACTGATATACTGGAGTGCTCAGTATCAAGAAGGTTTCATTAAAATAGAGTCAGACACTTGAAGGGGATAAAAGTTACTCTGAGAACCAGTGTTGAAGATAAGAAAATTGAGGGGTGGTGAATTTAAAGGCTCTTTCTAAAATTCTTCTGAGTAAATGAGGATTGTTTTAATAAAAGGCTTCCCTGATAGCTCAGTTGGTAAAGAATCCACCTGCAATGAAGGATACCCTGGTTTGATCCCTGGGTTGGGAAGATCCCCTGGAGAAGGGAAAGGCTACCCACTCCAGTATTCTGGCCTGGAGATTCCATGGAATATATAATCCATGGGGTCACAAAGGGTTGGGCTAAATTTTTATTAAAAGAGTCTTTTAATAAAAACAAACAGTAATTCCAATCACATTATAAGTCATAACTCTATGTCTTTATTGAAGCCCAGCCCCAGTGCCTTGGAATTAGTCTGTGTGTGACTGTAACTTGAGATTTAGTTTCCTCACAAGCATTTGGTTACATCTAATTCATATCTTAAATATTATATTTTCCTCATTTGGGTGATGAACACATGCTCTTTGATGCTGTATAAAAAACAAAGTTGTTTCTTTGATTATCTTTAGGATGTTCTGTTTGAGCTTACACTGACTTGATACAGTGGAAAGGGCATGGGCTTTGAAGTGAGACAAACACAGACGTAAAATTCTGGCTCTAGCACAGCAGTATTAGATTAGGAAGTCTGAATATACTTTTTGAACCTTCCTTAAATTTGTTTTTGTTAATTTTTCATTTGTAAAATGTTTCTGCTGTGAAAATTGAATGAGATATTATATCATATTCTTGGCATGTTAACCAAAGTCCCTACATTTCTTGTATTAACCATATGTAATAAGGTTTCCTAAAATCAGTTAATGAGGTTATACTCTGTGATTATATTATCTGATGATTTTTTTTCATAAATTCTATGCAGTGATCATTATTGAGTGTCTGTTGTCTGTTAAGCTCTGTGTGAGCTAAAGTATAGAAGTAAACACAAAGCACAATTCTGTTTTTTGAGGAGTTTTAGACTAATGGGAGGTGGATGTCAGTGAGAAGTAATACCACCTTCCTAATGCCTTATAATTGAAAGAATAGTAACAGCATTCATCTTATACCCAACTGTGCTATGATAAATGCATTATTGCAATTTCTAGCAGTATTAAAATTCAACTTTGGATTTGGGGGATCTGTTTTAAGAATAAGGATTCATTGGCTTTAGAAATTCAGGATAGAACTAAGACTGGATAATTTCCCAAGAGTTTTTGTTTGTTTTTATGTAAATATTTTGATTTATTTAATCAGGGTTTTATTTTTTATGTATCTCAAATTAGTGACTAGTTTATTTCATAATGGTTAGAAATAGGAAGACGTAAGAATCCCACACTTGACCTGCAGCTGTAAGACTTGTTACTCAGCACATGATGTGAAGTTGATGTATGTTCTATGTTGGGAGAGTTGCTTGCTGCTGGAAATGACACCTTCTTTTACCTACTCCTTAGCACTAGATGGTGCTGTGGGCTTAAATACATTTTCTAGTTTGCAATTTCAGCCATCTTTTGTTTTTCAAAATCCTCTTGTTAAGGCATTCGTTGCATTGATATCTGTTTTGATAGTTGAAAATATTAGTGTTATCTATAACGTTTTACTTTCAAAGTTAGTGGTGGTTTGTCCATTGTGTCCTTACTCTTACATAGATCCTAAGGGCTTATTCTTCTTATGTCAACTAAGATGTTTTCATCTGGGTAACAAAATAGAAATATAAAGCCTGCTTGTAAAAATGCTTTTAGAGAGAACTTACTCTTCAAATTCTGTAGAGCTTCAAAATATGTAGAGCTTCACTTAGAGCAATAATGATCTAGGTCATAAAACAGCACAGTTCTTCCCTTTTTACCTCTATGGCACTTTTTTACATGAAAAGTCAAGGAAAGTTAGTTTCTAAGTTTTTTTCTGAGAGTCATGCTGAGCTGGTTTTTTTCCCCTCTTCTCCTGGCTTCCATCTTCCAAGTTCCTTCAGCGTGTTTTGTCCTTGAAGTTCTACCTTTCCTAGTGCTCTTTAATCACCTGAGAAATTTTCTTTAAAAACACAAAAGTTGGGCTATTTTGCACTAGGTATTCATATTCATTGAGGGAGGCAGGCTTGAGTGGATGTAATTTTTTTTTTAATGGTTGATTATGTACAAACTGTATTTTAAAAAACAATCCTGTTGCATAGTCAGAGTGGAGAACTACTTGTGCAGACAACACACAATTAGCGTTTTTCTGTTGACCCAGAGGGAGAAACAGCAGGCGGAGCTGTAAGAGGCAGCTGCTTCTGAGACAAGTACATTCCCCGCCCCCCACCCTTTCTTTCTAGTTTTAGGAGTTGAGATGTTGTGAGGTGGGGCCTTTGGGGAAAAGGAAGCGACCCCCTTCACCTACCCCTCACAGTGTACCTCCTAATGGTGCTTTTCCCTGGTATCACCTCTCGCCCTTTCCCTACAGTGAGAATAATTCATGATGATGAGGAGTCTCCATTATTCTGATGTTTTGGCAAAAAGACCATTATTGTCTAACCATTTAGTCAAGTTTTAAGTTTGCTTTTTTTTCCTGTGCAATTTGCATTTTGCTTTTTGTTTACATCTGTATTTAATAATTATCAAAGGAATACAATGTTTCAGAAAATTTATAGACCAGAGGAAAAAATATTACCCATAATCTTACCATTTTATCATCCAAACTCTACTATTCTTATTTAGAAATATTTTCTTTTAGGCTTTTTCATATGCATTTTTACATTTTATTTAAAACACTACAATTTAGTGCCTTGCTTCTTTTACCACTTGCTTTTTGTCACTTATTATTAAATAAAATGTGAAAATCATTTCTGTGTTGGTCTTTTTGTCATCAAGATGAGCTCATCTTTGGAGTTACTCTCTGCCACTGTCTGAACAGTGCTTAACACATAGGAACTGCTCACTTCATAGTAGCTAAAAGTAATTAATAATGAATAATATTTTAGTCTTTGTCCCAGGTAAACTATATTTGTATTTTTTAAAAAGTGTAAACCTAAGTATCTGTAAACTGAGCTTTCATATTTTAAAACTTGAATAGTTATATTTTTGTATAGAAAAGTATTCCTTTTGCCACATCATGATAAAAGAAATCAAATGCTGTGTTAAACTGACTAGAGATGACAGGCTCATCTCTCTCCTTGGCAGGTCTGCTGGTACTGCATTTTGGGTCGCAAAGCGGAAGGAAGCTATGGAAAAGTAAGACTAAACAATAATCATCTCCCAAACTCAGGAGAAGCGGTATGTTGAACTGAAAAAACATTTGAATCTCAGGAAGTCTTACCAAAAAGTTTCATTAATTACAACTGAGTGTTGCTGGTTTTTTTTCCTTTATGTAATCACTGTTTCAGTGAATTTCTCTTGATTTCAGCTTGAGTCATAACTAAAATCTTAACAGTAAATGGAAAGGTTGTTTTTTTTTTTTTAAACCTATAAAGATCACTTAATTATATTTAAAAAACCCTTACTTTAATTTTCCATGTGTAACTTGAAGTATGTTTTTGTTAATAGATACCAGCGGATGGCAAAAGCGTTTTTGAGGTAAAAGGTTTAGAAACCAATGAAAAATACGTCTTTGCAGTTGCGGCTTACTGTTCTAGTGGAAAGCTGATTGGTGATGCTATTGGCGAGACAACTAAACCAATTCTGATTTATCCACCTCTTTCTGCTGTTACTACTCGGATGTTATTGACGCAGGTAGATGAGATTGCTCCTAATTTTTTCCTGTTAACCAGTTGCTAAGTAATTTCTGATGAAAAAACAGTCACAGCAGATATTCTGAAGCTCCTGTAATACATATTTTCCTTGACCACAGTTTAGTCTCCTAAAATATAAATCATTATTTCTCTCACTCATGAGTTTGCTGTATATAATAACATTTATTTTCCTGCATTAAATAATATTTAAGTGCAACACATACTGATTTTAGAATTTTGGAAATAAATGTTGCCTGTTTTCCTGTCAACCAGAGTAGTAGTTCTTAACCTGAAGCAGTTTAGGCCCCCAGGGGACATATGTCGTTTTTGGTGGTCACCATCTAGAGGAGTGCTACTGACATCTGGAAGGTAGAGGCCAGGGATGCTGATAAGCATGCTACAACGCAAAGGACAGCATTTCCTTCCCTCAACAAAGTGTTATCTGGTCCAAAATGTCAGTAGTGTCACGGCTGAGAAGCCCTGATCCAGATATACCCTTTTCTTTGCATGCATATGTATACATTGTTGTTTAGTTGCTAAGTTGTGTCTAACTCTTTTGCAACCCCATGGACTGTAGCCTACCAGGCTCCTCTGTCCATGGGATTTCGCAGTCTAGAATACTAGTGTGGGTTGCCATTTCCATCTCCAGGGGATCTTCCCCACCCAGGGTTCAAACACACGTCTCCTGCATTGGCAGGAGGATTCTTTACCACTGAACCACTTAGGAAGCCTGTATGTATACAAATACACATATACACGTATGTGAATTTATGTATAATATATAGTTTTAGTCATAGTGTACATATTATTTTACATCTGATTGTTATTTACTACATAATTGACTTTTTTCCATTCCATTAAGTATTGTTTCAAAACATAATTTTTAACATTTGTATGGTATTGCATCTTAAAAATGTCATAATGTAGTATATATATGTGTGTGTATATACACATATACACACATACACACTGGAATACTACTCAGTCATAAAAAAGAATGAAATAATGTCGTTTGTAGCATGGCAACCATGTAGCATGGATGGACCCAGAGATAATCATATTTAAGTGAAGTAAGTCAGACAGAGAAAGACAAGTACCATATGATATCACTTGTATGTGGAATCTAAAACATGACATAAGTGAACTTGTTTGTGAAACAAAAGTAGAGACTCACAGACATAGAAAACAAACTTATGGTTACCTAAGGGGAAAGGGAGTGGAGGAAGGATAAGTTAAGAGTTTGGGATTAACAGGTATAAACTGCTGTATGTAAAATAGTGAAACAGTAAGGTTCTACTGTGTAGCACAGGGAACTGTGTTCAGTATTGTGTAATAAACCATAATGGAAAAGATTATGGAAAAGAATATGTGTCTATACAACTGAATCACATTGCTATACACCAGAGTCTAATATAACATTATAAATAATTGTTCTTCAATAAAAAAATATATATCAGTTGTTTTACAATATTGTGTTAGTTTCATGTGTACAACAACATGATTTTATATATATATATATATATATATGTATTTTTTCAGATCACTTTCCACTGTAAGTTATTTTAAGATATTGAATATAGTTCCTTGTGCTATACAGTAAATGTTAATACTTGATGATTGTTTATTTTCTGTATAGTAGTTCATAGCTGTTAATCCCATATACCTAATTTATCCCTTTCCTCCTATGGTAGCCCTAAGTTTGTTCTCAATGTCTGTTGGTCTGTTTCTGTTTTGTAGATAAGTTCATTTGCATTGTATTTTAGATTCTACATGTAAGTGATACATGGTATTTGTCTTTCTCGTCCTGACTTGCTTTACTTACTATAATATTCTCTAGGTCCGTCCATGTTGCAGCAAATGGCAATATTTTATTATTCTTTATGGCTGAGTAATATTCTATTTGCATGTGTGTGTGTATGTGTGTGTGTGTGTACTTTACATCTTAAACCAATCATTTGTTGTTGGGCACTTGGGTTGTTCCCATGTCTTAGCTATTATAAATAGTGCTGCAGTGAACGCTGAGGCCCATGAATCTTTTCATATTATACTTTTCTCCACATATATGCCCAGGAGTGGGGTTGTTGGATCATAAACTAGTCCTATTTTTAGTTTTTTAAGGAACTTCCATCCAGTTCCCATAGTGGCTGTACCAATTTACATTCCTATCAACAGTGTAGGAAGGTTCCCTCTTTCTTCACACCCTCTCCAGCGTTTATTGTTGGTAGACTTTAGATGATGGCCATTCTGACCAATGTGAGATGATACCTCATTGTAGTTTTGATTTGTATTTCTCTACTAATTGGGGACATTGAGCATCTTTCACTGCATCTATGATTATTTTCTTAGGATCAGTTTATAGAAGTGAATTTTCTGGGTGCATAGAGACAGACCTGAGTTTAAGGTGCAGATCCTCACATTAGCTGTGTGATATCAGTCAATTAACCCTCATCTATGAAGTGGAATAATAATAATAGTTACCTCCCAGAACTGTTATGAGTATTAAATGGAATTATGCATGTCAAACATTTAACCATAGCACTTACCCCACAGTAGGCATTTAATGAATATTATTGTGGTTCCTAGTTCTGGATATACTTGTGAATTGACATTTTTGCTGAAATAATTGCCTGACTTAAAATATGTTACCAGTGAATGGGATTCTAGAAAAAAATGACTCATTGACCCAAGTCTCAAGCATATAATTTTAAGTTTATTGTTGACTCTTCTAAATTTTATCCTGTTTCTATTGTGCTAGTTTTTCCTCTTAATAGTTGATTAGTATTATAGGCTAAAGTCTAACTGGAATTTTATATTATCATATTTTTCAAAGAAAATTTAATTGAGAGAATTGCTAGGATTTGTCTAGCATTGGTTTAGCATGTCATTTGGGCTCATGGTTTTCTGATGTTTTGATTTCTTTGGAATCTAATATATTTCCTAATTTGCAGTGATGGAGTTATTTCAAAGTAAGGCACCGAATATTTCATCAAGGTCTAATTTTTCTCCAGGGAGTGGTTTGACTCTTGGGCTTCATTTGGCATAACTTTCATTGAAAGTTAATAAAACGAAGTCCTAGCTATACTGCTAGGATAATGAGAAGTGTCATAAAGTAATGGCCTGTGTTTCTTTACTGATACTATATTTGCAGTACTGTAGTTCATTTATGACAGTCTGAGAGCATTCTCTCTCATAATGTTAAGTTGGATAAGCAAAATTTCCTCCATTTAAAATTTAAGTTTAAGTTTTTAAATTTTAGCAGGAAAACGTACCTTTCTTTTGGAACTGTGATGAAAAGCTGCTGTTTTTTATAAGAGTGGCTAGTTTTTAGTTTCAAGATAATTCTGTTCTTTAAAAAATATTATCACAAATATTTTATAGTAAAATATGGAGTTATTTTGCTAAATGTTTATGAATAACTTAGAGTTTTTGGTTATACATTTTACTAAACATTATTTTATAAATAAAAAGTTTATAAAGTCAGGTGAATCTTTACTAGATTTTTCTCTAACTGTAGGAAACTATAATAATTTAGGCTATCTGGAAAATTTTTTGAGGAACCTTTATGAATTATATATTGTCTACATTTATTTTCCAATTTCATTCCCTTTATAGCCTCATTTCTTTTTATTATTCCCTTTTAAGTTGGGAATGACTAGATAATGTGATATAAAATATAGACAATTAGAAATCTGTGAGCAAGATTGTAAGATTTTAGGCAAATTGCTTGGTCTTAATTTCCCTATCTGTAAAACGGATACACGACCAAATGCCACATACTGCTGGATTATTGAACTACTAAATCAAATAGCAAGTGGGCACTATGACTTGTTGAGATGAGAAAGTGAGGAATATCATTTATTGAAAAACTGTTGCCTGACAGACATTTTAACATTCATTATTCCATTGATTACAGCAACTCTAAAGAAAGAGGTGGTATTATTACTTTCAGGTTCAGGAAACAGATGAATTTAACCCTTCCTCTGCCAATCTCCTTTTATTCCAGACAGAGGGTCTTAGGGAGGTCAAGTGATTTGCCCAAGGTTACTGCAACACTCTGGCCCCCTGATGCAGAGAGCTGACTCACTGGAAAAGGCCCTGATGCTGGGGAAGATTGAGGGCAGGAGGAGAAGGGGACGACAGGGGATGAGATGGTTGGATGGCATCACCGACTCGATGGACATGGGTTTGGGTGGGCTCTGGGAGCTGGTGATGGACAGGGAGGCCTGGCGTGCTGCGGTCCATGGGGTCACAGACAGTTGGACAGGGCTGAGCACCTGAACCGAACTGGACTCTGTTGGTAGATGGTAAGCCTGCCATTTGAACCAGCTCGTGCCTTTCAACGGCTCTGTCCAGGTTCACCATCTAACATGTGCCAAGTTCATCCAGAGCTTACATCTCTCCCATCTATTCTCTTCCTAGTTGGTGCACTCCACAGGTCGTCATGATCTGTGGGAGCAGTAGAGTTTGATGTTGGGTCAGGAATCACAATGGTGGCAGGAAACTGAAATTTGTACATTTTTTCCAAAACAATTTTGTACATTCATATATGAATTCATTGAAACACTTTTATTAATAGAGGTTTGCCTTTTGTCTATGACCATTGAAAAGTATAGAGCTACCAGGTAAAAGGTACTCATCCCCATTTTTAAAGTTTATAAGAAGTATCAACTCTTCTTTTCCCTCTTTGAACAAACAAAAATCCAATGTTTGTTTTCTAGTGAATGGGATTCTAGAAAAAAATGCATCTTTTAAAATCAGTCTCATCCCCACAGCAGTAACCCTCATTGTAGTTGATTTTGACTTATGGTTTCAGTTAAGACCCCGATTGCAAGAAAGCTTCCCTTGGGGAAATGCAGCCAGGCCCTGGGAAGGCTGCAAAGTTCAGGCAGCTGTAAGCCTCATACCTCTGATACTCTCTATACACTTGCTTTCTTTTTCTCTCTTTAAATATTGGTTTTCCTTTCCATCTCTGGAGGGAATATGGCAGCCCCTTGAGTGTTTGTGTATATTCCTCTATTTCAGCCATATTCTCAGACTGGTTAGCTATGTCCTAATCTTGATTCCAAATTTCTGGAAAAGAGACCTGCATTGGTTCACCCAATGTAAGAAAGAGTCTGATCTCATTTTTAATGTTTGGCCACTGACTTGTTTTTAAATCTCACCCTTCTTTGTTCCTTTGGCCCCACATCTGAGCAGGCTACTAAGGAGGTTTCTGACTTCACCTTCTCCTTTGGTGCCTGCAGGAAATTTAAATGTTCCAGCTGGCAGGAACTGTGCCCAGTCCAGCCACTAACAAAGCCCAATCTATTCCTTCTGCTCTGGCCAGGTTAACCTGGGTCTGCCTGTGCCTGCCCATGGACTCTCCCAAGGAGTCCCTTGTGTGAATAATAAACTTTCTTTCAGATCCTCATGGTGCACATAATGTCTTCAGCCTTAATACCTGAAGCAGACTGTGTGTGTGTATGTATGGGGTCCATTTTGCTTTGCTGTGGACCCAGATTGGGTCAGGCACTCACCCTGGGCCAGTCAATTGTGTTATTTTATAGCATACCTCCTGGATATTCTCTTCTGTATAGAGAGGGAAATTATCAGGAAAAGGGGAATTTTGAGTTCATGTAACACATTATTATTGAGTGCTTACTCTGTGTCCGGCATTGCTCTAGGCTAGTGATTCTAAAACTTTGGCCTGAATCAGAAAGATCTGGAGTGCTGGCCTAAAGAGATTGCTACCCCCACCGACAGAGTATATGGTTCACTTGGTGTAGGATAGGACCTGTAAAGTCTGCATGTTTAACAAGTTCATAGGTGAGGCAGATGCTGATGGTTCAGGGACCATACTTTGAGAACCACTGTTCTAAGTGAGCAAAATGCCATGGTAGGAGGTGGGTAATAGACAATGAACATAGTAAAGAAATAGATTGCCTATTAATAGTATGTTAGAAGGCAAGTCCTGTGGAAAGATAGTGTAGAGTACAGTCAGAGGAACTGGAAATGTGAAGTGGGATAAAGGAAGGTAAATTACAGTGTTACAGTGTTAANTGGTAGGAGGTAGGTAATAGACAATGAACATAGTAAAGAAATAGATTGCCTATTAATAGTATGTTAGAAGGCAAGTCCTGTGGAAAGATAGTGTAGAGTACAGTCAGAGGAACTGGAAATGTGAAGTGGGATAAAGGAAGGTAAATTACAGTGTTACAGTATTAAGTAAGCTGAACAGAGAAAGTGTCATCTGGAAGATGAGATGTGAACAGACATTTGAAGGAGGTGAGGGAGCAGCTCTGGAGAAGGAAGATCCCACAGAAAGAGCTAGAAGAAGGGCCTGAAGGATTCCAGAACTGTACTTGGTATAACATAAAGAGCAAGGAGGCCAGGATGACTGGAGCAGAGGGGCCCAAAGGATTGCTCAGGGAGGTGAAAGGTGAGCGGATGGGGGGAAGTAGATCGTGATGAGAATTCCAGGCTGTTGTAGCAAGTAAGGCTTTCACTGTGAGTGACTTGAATGGCCACTGGAGAGAGTCTGATGTGACAGGACAACATAACGTGGCTTCTTTCTCAGAGGCTCACCCTGGTTGCCGTGTCGTGCAGACCCCATGAGGCGTGAGTGTGGGAGCAGAGGGAGCTGTTGAATACGTACTGCTGGCGTCCAGTCAGAGGTGGGGGTGGCTTGGCCAGGTGTAGTAGTTGATGTGACGAGAAGTGGCCAGATTCTGGATGTATTTTGAAGGAGGAGTTAACAAGAATTCCTGTTGGAAACAATGGATAGAGAAAAATAGGAGATGCCTTGAAGGTGTTTAGCCAACTGACTGGAAGGACAGACTTGGACCACAGCTGAGTTGGGGATGGCTGTGAGTGGTGCAGAGAAAGATCAGAAATTAAGCTGGGGGCATGTTAAGGTCAGATGTTATTAGATATTCAGAGAGAATTGTTGAGTGGTCAGTAGTCGAGAGTAGTTGTGTGACAACTACAGCCGTGGGGCTGGGTAACAGCAGCAAGGACATGGGTGCTGAGGAGAGGAGAGGTCAGAAGGCTGAGCCCTGCGGCACGCCGGTATCATGAGATTGAGGAGAAGAGGAGCTTGCCAGGGTGCTGGAGAGGAATGTATTGGGTTGGCCAAAATGTCTGTTCCATAGCATCTTATGGAAAAACCCACGTAAACATTTTGGGATCTAGTTCCCTGACTAGGGATCGAACCCAGGCCCCCGGCATTGGGACTGTGGAGTCTTAGCCATTGGACCACCAGGGAGGTCCCTCTTTTAGTGCTTCTTTCTCATTGTAACCTCGCCCCCTCTAAGGTCTATTCTGCACATGCCTACTACTTAACCATCTGTGAACCTGTGAATATCAAATGCTCCTCTGTTAACTCACACAGACGAATGAACTTATAAACCTTTAATATCATCGTAGCATTTTTCTTGTTTTGCAACGTCCACTGACTGAGCAAATAGTTATTTTTATGTTTTCGCCCTTTTTTAAAAAAGTGAAATATAGTTGATTTAGTGTTGTGCCAATTTCTGCGGTACAGCAAAGTGACTCAGAAATAACTATTTTTAAAAGGCTCTATTTTAAAAGGAAAGAACATTCAGTTATAGTTTCACCAACTCCCTTACACCTCATCTGTTATCATTTTCCATGGTGAATCTTAGAATTATAATGGTGTTTTAATGACCACTTAGTCCAACTTTTTCATTTGCCCAATGTGGCCCAGAGAAGGGACCTCATCTATCACACTAAGGCTTGATTCTACTTTTTCATTTTATTTTAGTTATTTTTGAATCCAGGTCCGCCTCATTGCAGGCAGATTCTTTACCAACTAAGCCACCAGGGAAGCCCACGATACTGCCTGAGTGACTGCGAGTCGCTCAGTTGTGTCCGACTCTGTGACCCCAAGGGCTGTACAGTCCATGGAATCCTCCAGGCCAGAACACTGGAGTGGGCAGCTGTTCCCCTCTCCAGGAGACCTTCCCAGCCTAGGGTCAAAGCCAGGTCTCCTGCATTGCAGGCAGATCCTTTACCAGCTGAGCCACAAGGGAAGCCCTGCTTTTCTTCAGATTCTGACCTGTCTTTCCAGTCTCAAATGCCCTGTGGCAACTTCCTTCACAGGACCTTTTTCAGGTTCCATCTAAGCTGTGCCCATTTGAACCTTATCCCTGCCTTAGGGTTTACATCAAGCCCTGATTCCTTCTTGAAGTCTTCATTTCTCCTTTTTTAAGTCTCCACAATTATGATGTGATAATTTGCAATTTTTCTGTAATTTCATGTGTTTTACCACTGTAACTTGATTACAGTTTCATCGAGTATGAAATTGTTTTAAGCTTTGAAGAATCTAGATTTACAGTGCTTAGCACCAAGTAGAAACTTCATAAAAGTTTACTGGTTGGTTGATTATGAGTATTGACTTGGCAGATTTTAAAAGTTCTAGCCCTGTAAGCTATTCCCTTGTGTGGAATATAGTCTAGCAACATGTCATTTACATACTTAATGAATTTATTCATACTTAATACTCTACCTGCTTCTACTGAGAATTTGAAGCAGCATGTAACTCATGTGGTGTGATTTCATGTCATTATACATATTTGGATTTTTAGAGATATAGTTAAAGAAATATATCCCAAAAGATATAGGTTAAGTTGATGATTTTTTCTTTCACGCTTCTAGGTTTTTTCAGTGAAATCAGTTATTTCGCCAAATGGTGAATGTGTGAAACTTAAAAACACATTATGGTGTTTTATTCCTCACTCTTTTCAGCTCTGAAGCCTTTGTTGCAAAAAAAGTTCTGAAAGCATCAGTCAGAACCAGAGAAGAATGAAGTATATTTCATATTTTGGGTTTGGGAAATCTGATTGTTTCTCTTGGAACAGATTGTTCATTATAACAGTGTCTGTAATAAATGGAGTGCACTGCTGAGATAGATGGAAATGAAATTAATTTGGCTCAGATGTGATCTTTGTTTTGCTTATGAGAATTTGAAACATCCTTACAGAGTTTCAAATTTCCATGCAATTTAGAAATGAAAGAGATTTCAAAATGTGTTTCTCCCTTGCCATGGCCCTGTAGAGCAGGACAGCCAGTGTGAACAACTGCAGGGAGTTAGAGTGGGATTGGGCCTTGTCAGAATTCTTGTTGAAAGTGTACACTCCCCAAACTCAAGTAATGCCTAAGAGAATGTGCTTTCTGTTGCAGGTCGCCTATCAGACTGGTAACTATGATCTGGCTAAGAAAGTTTTCTCACCAGTCTGGGATTATTTTGTTGCTTCACCACCTCAGGGTGACCAATCCATTATTTGTTTAAGCAATATAATGACTATTACACAGAGAAGGTAACTAGAAATGTTCTTTTAAAATATTAATTTGCTTATTGAAAAGACAAGTGTTGTCTGTGAAGCCTGGAGTTAATTTATTTTCAAGTTCATGTTGAGATGGTATATGTAAAACTACTTCCAACAAGTAAAGCATAGATATTCTGAAGGTTTGGGTCCTTCTTAGAACCCAAGATGTCTCAGATGGTGAAGAATCTGCCTGTACTGTGGGGGACCCGAGTTTGATCCCTGGATTGGGAAGATCTCCTGGAGTAGGGAATGGCTAACCACTTCAGTATCCTTGCCTGAAGAATTCCATGGACTGAGGAGCCTGGCGGGCTATAGTCAGACATGACTGAGCGACTAACACTTTCACACTTCAGGGGCAGATTTGGGACAGTTGGAGGGGCAGTGTGTTAATTGCTCAGTTGTGTCCGACTCTTTGCGATTCCATGGACCGTAGCCCACCAGGCTCCTCTGTCCTTGGGATTCACCAGGCAAGAATACTGGAGTGGGTAGCCATGCCCTTCTCCTGGGGATCTTCCCCACCCGGGGATCAAGTCCACATCTCTTACATCTCCTGCATTGGCAGGCTGGTTCTTTACCATCTGAGCCACCAGTGAAGCCCCAAACTGTCTCCACTTCTCTTCATCCATCGCTGATTTTGCTATGAATAACCCTCACTTGCAGAAAGTTTATTGATTGAAATATTGGGCCTATTTTCCAAACTTCTGAGTATCTATAATGATTTCAATTATATTGATAGAAAAGAGCTATGTATTTTAGAATCAGAAAATTTTGCCAGTGGTTTATGTTTTATATATCCATGATATACATCCACAGCTTGATTTTCTTAGTTATGAACTTGTTGTTAAGAATAGTCTTTAATTTCAATTTAAACAGCTGTGCAAGAGCTACTATGTTACATACTTTTGCTGCTGCTGCTAAGTCGCTCAGTCGTGTCCGAGTCTGTGCGACCCTATGGACAGCAGCCCACCAGGCCCCTCTGTCCACAGGCTTCTCTAGGCAAGAATACTGGAGTAGGTTGCCATTTCCTTCTCTGACTTTCGCTGCTATCTTGGGATAATTGTGTTGGTATAACAAATCAATCTACAAAATTGAATTCACATACTAAATCACCTTATACCTGTAACATCATTTACTTCTTTTTGCAGATTACATTCAGATATTTTGGCAGAGAGTTCTTCAATTCTCTTATATCTTTTTCTTAGAAATATTTTTGTAACAAGTGACATTAAAATTAAAGAAGAAAATTTTTTCTGTGATAATATTAAAGGCAATGAGATTTTCCCTTCTCAACAAGTAAGTGAATTAAAATCATTGCAAATGCATTGATTTCCCTTGATTTGTTTCTTGATGTTTCAAGTTTATGAGCTGTGAGGATTATATATCCTCGCTTGTGAATGGACTGAGAGACCTTTGTATGATTATGCTGGTTTATTTGATATTGTTTGTAGATTTCACAGGCCTAGGCTCATGGTCCCCCCTTCTTTTCTATTTATATATATATATTCCTGTATAAAAGTAGTATAAATTCAAATATTCAAAATGTATAATGTATAAAGTGAAACCCATTAGAATCCTATTATCCCTAAGAATACTATATTCTTGTTTTCATGTGATTTCTCCCATTGTTAAAAATATGCATAGACAAATATGCTATTATTATTTACAAAAACGGAATCATGATCGACTCACTGTTCTGTAACTTGCTTTTTGAATACTTTTTATAATTGATCTTGGACATACTTTCATGCTGGTACATTTCCATCTGGTACATTTTTTAAAACTATAATATTGCATCCTGTGCAGAGGCAGGAATTTAACTTATTTCCTATTGATATGTTCTCAAGGTACTTATAAATATTGTTCTATTATACCTACAGCCTTACAATGTTCTTGCTTTTAGTAACAATCCTACATAATTTTTTTTCAATCTAAATTGAGGTTCACTTTTCTTTTCCTCCCTTCCTTCTTTATTTACTTTAGATATATGGAGAGTTTTGTAATTTTAGATTTTCTTTTATAGCTGCTTTTTTCTACCCATCCACTTATTCATTAATTAATTAGCCAATAACTTGTTCCATGAGACTGTGCCAATTTCTATGGGTATGAAGGTAAAAAAACAAACCAACAAACATGACTTTCTGCCTAAGACAACTTCACAATCTTGTAGAGCCCAAGCATTCATAGCCATTGACCTGTTCCTACTAAGCTGCATTCAGCTTCTTCTTTTTTTTTTTTTTTCATCAATTCCAGAATGCTGGACTACCATTCCAATAACAATTTGCTGTATAGAAATTTCTGGTTGCCCCTCATATTGTTTTCTTTAAATGAAATCTCTTCCCAGGAAACAGAAAGGAGTAAGATAGGATTCTTACTCTTCTTAAGTGATGTTTAATCACAAAAAGCCTAACTTTACATTTTGCTTTAAGTAGCAGAAGTATAATAGAAGATAGGTTGGTCTACAAAAAATTTACCATTTTCTCACAAATCCAGAAGAGAAATAGACTCTATTAATCAAGTGGAGGCCATATTGCAGCAATACTGTATTTTAATTATTATTTGTCATAGTTATGTTTTTGAAAAAGCTAGAGTTTTCCTCCTAAAATATAGCCAAGATTTTATCTTACCAATCAAAAAAGATTGGTGCCTTTTCTGTTATTAGTGGTATTTGATTGTAATTCATAAAAAATTTTTAGGTTTAATTCTAAGATCGTGTCATTCGTATGTATCAATAGCATTACTGGGGAGTTAGAGTTGTTCCTGAATTTAGGTTTTTCTTTATATCAACATTCATGTTATTGTTAAGTTACAGGGATCACATTTCCTACCCTTTCCCTCATTAGAGACACACAAGTTAAGTACCTGGTGTTCAGCTTGAGTAACAATGCCTGTTTCTTTACAGATTGCTAGGCTAATTGAATGTGAGAGAGTATTGGTGGCATTGGAACTGAGCAACTACCTAAATGATTCCAGTTATGCCCTTCAGGCTGTGACTCAGTGTTACGGCCTCCTTGCTCCTATCATTTATCACAATATTGTTTTGGTACCTGTTGTACAGGTAAGGGTTTCACCCCCTCCCCATAAGGGTGTTTTTTTACAAAGGCAAGTCAACACTGCATTTTGGAAAAGAAAATACAACCTGTCTCTTAGAAAGTACAAATAGGTCAAAAATGAGTATTATGACATTTCGTGAGTTAACTGAAAGAAATTTTAATAATTTAAATTACATGTCTGGGAAAACATAATAAGAATTTAAAATGTGTTTCCCTGAAAACATTCAGCCCTGTTGCTGTCCATATTTAAATATGGGTAACATACTTTTCTAGGTTTTTTAAAAAATCATTTCAATTTTTATGGTCTTGTAATGTTAGAAACAGCAATATTTATTCAAGGCATACTGTTAAAGCCATCACTGAGGGGAAAAAATATTGGTGGATAACCAGAAAAAAAAGACTTGATGTCTCTGTGGTGAAATTGGAATTTTTGGAAAAACAGGTTGATAAGACTTGGCTGAAGGGATTGTATTAGTTGTATATGTTTCCTAACAAATCACCAACACTCAATGGCTTAAAACAACACCCATTCACTATCCCATAGTTTCTGGAGGTCAGAAGGCTGGATACAGGTTGTCTGGATCTTTGGCTCAGGATCTCATCTGGCTAAATTCAAGGTGTTGACCAGAGCTGTGGTCAGAATTTTAGCTTAGGATCAGGCTAGAATCAAGGTGTTGACCAGAGCTGTGGTCTCATGCGAGGCTGGGGGTTTTCTTCCAAATTCACTGGCTGTTGAGAGATTCATTCCCTTGCAGCCATGTGCTGAGTCCCTTAGTTCTGAAAGGCTGACCACCAGTGCTCTGCCACATGCCCTTCTCCACGACACGGCAGTCTGCTTCTTAAACCATCATCCTTTCTTCTTAGAGGCGAGAGGTTAGAGATGTCAGACCTAGTTTGGAGCGGGGGCATGTCTCAGCACGTCCCAGACATTTCATTAATGCGTCAGGCCCCTGACTCTTCTTAGGGTTTATTTCTATCCTCTGGAGGGCAAGTATCTCACATCTTCAACATACTTGCCATTTCTTGTTTATTAGGTTCAGTTAAAATGAATTGTTGATGTAGTGGTCCAGTGTTTTGTTTTGAGACATGTCCACAAAGTTAAGGTCCTTTCATAAAATATTAGGTCAGAGAATGGAAGCGTTATCATTGCCCTAGGTCAAACTCTAAATGCATGTTCTTATCTGCCTGGTGTGAATTGGAGCTTCTTCTGATACTTCTTCCCCATAGCATATTATTTCTGTCCAATAAGATAAAAAAGGCAACATTAGCCACCTCAAGGCACCTCCACTCCTTTTTTAAAGAAGAACTTTTTATTTTATACTGGAGTATAGCCAGTTAACAATGTTGTGATAATTTCAGGTGGATAGCAAAGGGACTCAGCCGCACATATACTCCTTTTATTCATTCTCACCCAAACTCCCTTTTAAGTGCTCCAGCAAAGATACCACAATGGAACAACGCCTGCAATTGGTGCTTCATTGGTTGAGTTGAGGGTAGTCCCCTGTTATCCTCTTGGATCTTACTGATTCAGGATGCATTTAACTCAGAAAGTGGATTATAGCTATGAGGCAAAGACTTAGAAAAGGAGTTTTTAAATTAAATTGTATAGTTTAGAGCAGGAAAAGATGAATGGAACAAGGGAGAGAGATGTCAGAAATAGGCCTCACTGTAGAACAATGTAATGTATGATGGAATTGGCTTTCCAATTCAGTGGGAAGATGATGGATATTTTTAGTAAATGGTGGTGAAACATCTGGATATTCCTCTGAAAGAAAGTAGAATTTGACCCCTACTTTGTACCGTATGTAAACAGTCCAGATATATTAAAGGCTTAAATGTAAAAGAAAGCAAAAACTTTTGGAAAAAATAATCCCAAGAGATTCCATGTACAGTCAGTGTTGGGGAACTCTAACCAAAATAGAACTCTTAGATATAAGAAATATTTGACTGTATTTAAATGGCAACCTACGTGTGGCAAAAAGAGCCATAACAAAGATAGTAGGCAATTTATGGATTTGGGAAAGGTATCTAACACTAATGAGGGTAACTATATATAACAAAAAGTCTTTTAACAACTGAATAAATAATTGGCGTGGGATAATAATATAAAGTTTATAGGAGAGCAAATCCAAGTGGCCAAAAAACATAGGAAAAGATGCTCAGATTCTGAATATCCATAGAAATGCCCATTAAATCAACAATATAATACCACTAGCAGAATTGAAAAGATCTGTAACTCCTATTGCTGGTGAGGATGTGGGGCAAAGGCATTCTCATTCATCAATGGGAGAAATGTGAACTGTTATAGCCTTTAGAATTTGGTAATGCAAACCTAATTTTAATTAAACTGAATAAACGTAAAACTAAAAACAAATATGCCTCACATAGCAATTCCTCTGCTAGTAATTTATCTCGTGGAATAAGATTTTAGTAAATTAAAAAGTACATTTACACAGCCCAGCAATTCCTTTCTTAATGATTTATCCCATAGATTAAAATTACCCCTAGTTCCACCCATTGCTTCCATCTGTTCTACCTACTGGGGACACAATACCACATAATGGCATTGATTTAGAGGGTCTACTGTGCCCTGGAGGATGGTACCTCACCCTCCCTGGGTATCATCTCAAAGCTGGCACCTCACTTGCTGCTCATTTTGGCAACTGCATATGTAGGAGGGTAGTTTTTGTTGTGGTTTTTTTTTTTTTTTTGGCCATGCCATGTTGCTTGTGAGATCTTAGTTCCCCAACCAGGGATTGAACCCACTGGACTGCCAGGAAATTCCCTGGGTAAGGATGTTTATTGTAGCTTTCTTGGTGAAGGCAAAAAAGTTGGAGACAAAGAGGACATGCAGTAATTGAAGGATGGCCAGAACTGCCAGACTGTTAAACATCAACCTTAAAACTGTGCAACAGGAAGGCTCTGGAAACGGTTGCAAAATTGTGACTGGTTTACAGTAAATAATGTTATGCAACCATTAGAAATGATGATAAATATATAGCTGTAGACTTGGAGGGATTTTTCACACAACATGCCTGAAGGGGAAATGCATAGTTCAGAAAGTGTGCTTAATTTCACTTTGTAAAATAACATTAACTTCTCTCTGTGTGTGAAAGTGAAAGTGCATGTGAAAGTGAAGTGAAAGTGTTAGTCGCTCATTCATGTCTGACTCTTTGCAACCTCATGGACTCTAGCCCACCAGGTTCCTCTGTCCATGGAATTCTCCAGGCAAGAATACTGGAGAACACACACACACACACAGACACACACATACATACACACATAGGATTAAATCCAAGTGGCCAAAAAACATAGGAAAAGATGCTCAGATTCTGAATATCCATAGAAATGCCCATTAAATCAACAATATAATACCACTAGCAGAATTGAAAAGATCTGTAACTCCTATTGCTGGTGAGGATGTGGGGCAAAGGCATTCTCATTCATCAATGGGAGAAATGTGAACTGTTATAGCCTTTAGAATTTGGTAATGCAAACCTAATTTTAATTAAACTGAATAAACGTAAAACTAAAAACAAATATGCCTCACATAGCAATTCCTCTGCTAGTAATTTATCTCGTGGAATAAGATTTTAGTAAATTAAAAAGTACATTTACACAGCCCAGCAATTCCTTTCTTAATGATTTATCCCATAGATTAAAATTACCCCTAGTTCCACCCATTGCTTCCATCTGTTCTACCTACTGGGGACACAATACCACATAATGGCATTGATTTAGAGGGTCTACTGTGCCCTGGAGGATGGTACCTCACCCTCCCTGGGTATCATCTCAAAGCTGGCACCTCACTTGCTGCTCATTTTGGCAACTGCATATGTAGGAGGGTAGTTTTTGTTGTGGTTTTTTTTTTTTTTTTGGCCATGCCATGTTGCTTGTGAGATCTTAGTTCCCCAACCAGGGATTGAACCCACTGGACTGCCAGGAAATTCCCTGGGTAAGGATGTTTATTGTAGCTTTCTTGGTGAAGGCAAAAAAGTTGGAGACAAAGAGGACATGCAGTAATTGAAGGATGGCCAGAACTGCCAGACTGTTAAACATCAACCTTAAAACTGTGCAACAGGAAGGCTCTGGAAACGGTTGCAAAATTGTGACTGGTTTACAGTAAATAATGTTATGCAACCATTAGAAATGATGATAAATATATAGCTGTAGACTTGGAGGGATTTTTCACACAACATGCCTGAAGGGGAAATGCATAGTTCAGAAAGTGTGCTTAATTTCACTTTGTAAAATAACATTAACTTCTCTCTGTGTGTGAAAGTGAAAGTGCATGTGAAAGTGAAGTGAAAGTGTTAGTCGCTCATTCATGTCTGACTCTTTGCAACTTCATGGACTCTAGCCCACCAGGTTCCTCTGTCCATGGAATTCTCCAGGCAAGAATACTGGAGAACACACACACACACACAGACACACACATACATACACACATAGGATTACATGAGCCCAGAGAAAACTACAGAACTGCTAGGTGGTTAGCTTGATTCAGGGATATGGAACAGTAGGTTGGGAGATGGTGATGGTGGAAGGGAGGAATTTAAGCTGCATTGAAAAGAATTCATAAGTGTTCTGTGACAACAGTAATAATATTAGATTGATGGCTTGAAGCAATTAATGTGCCCACAAAAAACCAACCTCCATATATTAATTTGTCCTTTGGGATAATCTGAATGATGAATAGATTGATGCAATCTAAATCTGGTTTTCTGATAGCAATATTGCTCAGAAGTGTGTGGCAATATTGAAAGCTAAACTTAATTGTCTAGCTCTGGATCAAATTCAGGATCACATGATATGGAGAGTAATTAAGGAAGTTAAGTGCCAATATTAATTGATTTCCTGGGATATGAGTGCTTGGTTTTATTTTAAAGGAAGCTCTTATACCAAGTACCCATATTGCTGTATATTTAATATGGTACATAGTCCTTCTCTGTAAGTTTTTTTCAAGGTTTTCCTAAGCCTGAATGTGATCTTTAGTTTCTTGTACACATGTAACATTTTACCTGTATCTTTTGTGGTACTTATCAGTGTGTGCTTTGTTTAATCTATTTTTGTATTTATTTTATCCTCTCCACTAGCTTTAAAGTTACTTTAGATGAAGGACTCACCTGAACATTGAATTTATCAATTTTATCTCAGGGTACACTTCTTTGTACAAGATGAGCAATTGGTCCATAATTATAAACAGCAATAAAATGTGATGGCTTAAACTTGCATGATTTAAATAGGGTATTTTTTTAATGAGTAAAGATATTTTCAACAAAAAACATTGTGTTTCTATTTTTCAGATCTTGATAAAGTGTGTGGTGGTTTTGCAAGGACTACCAAATGTCATCCAGTCAAAGAAACATCTTGCAAGCTTTGAAAGTGTACAGCATATGATAGCTTGCTGTATCTTCTACGTAACAAAGGTATCTACCTCATTATTTGGCTAATGTCATAAGACTTAGGCGCTCTAATGATTTAGAAAGTTACACTACTTTTAATCACAGTGATTAGAATACTTATTTATTTATTTTTCCATTTATTTTTATTAGTTGGAGGCTAATTACTTTACAATATTGTAGTGGTTTTTGCCATACACTGACATGAATCAGCCATGGATTTACATGTGTTCCCCATCCTGAGCTCCCCTCCCACCTCCCTCCCCATCCCATCCCTCTGGGTCATCCCAGTGCACCAGCCCCAAGCACTTGTCTCATGCATCCAACCTGGNTATTTGTTCTTACAGTGTTGAAAAGGATCAGAGATGACTAAAGAAAAAGAAACCTTTCAAGCAATACAATTAGAACAAATTTAATTTTTTCTTCCAGTTTTGTTGGGATATAACTGACATACAGCACTGTATAAGTTTAAGATGTACAACATAATGACTTGATTTACATACATCATGAAGTGATTACCATAAGAAATTTTGTGAACATGGACATCTCCTATAGATGCAAAATTAAAGAAATAGAAAAAATGTTTTTTTCTTGTGATAAACACTCTTAGAATTTACTCCCATAGTAACTTTCATACATAGCAAATTTAATTTTGGATTAAAAATTAAACAAATGAAGATTGTGATTATACTTCTTGATTCAGACATGGAAGCTCAAGAAACCCTGCAGATGTTGAATAGTATTATCTAGAGATAAATTCAGAAGACAGATCCAGAAGTCAAAACATGAAATAAAAGGAGTCTGGAAGTAGAAAAGAAATACATAGATAAGTAATCATCTTTCTGAGTCCCAGGCAGGATTAATGTTAGAATATATATGTAGACACATGTTGGTGAAATTCCTGAAATCCGAGGATAAGGACAAATCTTAATATTTGAGACCGAAAGAATAGGTTACTTATTTGCAATGAAAAGACAATCAATTAGCTTCAGGCTTTTTATCAGCAACACTAAAAGTTAAATTCCTGGAGCAACATTTGTAGAATCCTGAGGGGAAAAGACTAAGGCCTATAAATTAATAACCAGGAAAAGATATCATTCATTTGTCAGGGAAAAATAAACATTTTCAGAAGTGCAGGCATTTAAAAAGTATTCCATCCATGTACTTATCTGAGAAAAACACTTGAGGAAATACTCTATCAAATGACAGTTGGTTCAGAACAGAAATCCCAAGATGGGGAAAGACGAAAAGGAGAGGAATAATGGGAGTGACAAATCTTGCAATATATGTATTATTAAAATTAAATGGTTAATAATGATGTGACTAGGATCTTGTAATATAAATGCTAAATAGGGAGTCTTGAAATAGAAGAGTCATCCATGAAAGAAAAACCCGTTAGTAACCTAGAGCTAAAGCTTCTGTCCTGTTTAGGGTTGAGGGAGTGATGAGCAACTATAGATTCCTGGTGCATGCATGTTAAAAACGCACGTAGTATAGAAGTACATATTGTGTAACTTTATTATTTTCTTTTGAAAGAATATGTGTATTTAAAGATGACTCAAGAATATGTAGGCATGAGCTGATCTTTAAAACACTGTAGGACTTCTAAACTGTCAAGAAGGAAAAGCAAACAGAGGAGTGACAGGGAGGAAAAAAACACAAAAAAAAGTGGCAGGGACGAAACTTGGCTAATTTAAAAGTAAGAACTAAGGAAATTGAGATTATATTTCAGATGGAAGGAATAAAATCAAGTACATTGATTACGTCACTAAGCGTGAGTAACTCAAGAGAGAGAGACTGTCACATGGGCTGAAATGTTAGATTCAAATGTGTATTATTTCAAGACACCCTGTAAAACAAAATAGCAAGGAATTTGAAAAATAAATGGACACAGATATTGGGAAAATGCAAACAGAAATGAAGGAGGTGTGACAATTTTCATATCTGAAAAAGTAGAATTCAGGGTCCAAAACATTAAATGGATAAAGAGAGACATTATGTCCATCCAGTCTGTTCTGTTGATCATCTTGTCTGCTCCCCGACAGCCTCTGGCACTTTCCAGTCGTAGGGCAGTCTCATTGTGAAGTATTAAAGATCAAGTCTGAATTAAAACAAAACTTCATTTTTTATAACAGCAAATTAAAGGAGAAAAACAGGTTATATGAAAATGCTACAAAGGCACTGGATAAACCTTAGCAGCCTTTCCTAATAAATCTTAGCAACCTTTCCTAATAAAATTTCTAAGTAGGTTAGACATGGAAGGAAGTTATTGCATAATGATAAAGACATTTACCAAAAATTTTTAGCAAATATCATGCTAAATGGCAAGTTTCTGAAGTCATTTCTTTAAAATCAGGCACAGGAGATATTGACTCTTAATACTGTGATTCATTATTTGTAGAGATTCTGTCTCATGCGACAGACAAGGGCATGAAATAATTTTGTAATATTAGAAAAGCATAATTTGTAATTGTAAGGTTTCAAAAAACACATGAGACTCTAGCAAAAGGCTACTAAAATTAAAAAGAGAATTTATAAAGTGGTATAAGAATTTATAAAGTTATATAAGATACAAACTTGTTTTTACTTTTAATATGAGCAGTAGCCAGGACAGGAGAAAAAATACCACTTACAATGATATACAGTATTTTAAACTTAACAAAATGTTGAAGAACCTAAGTAAAAGAAATGTGAAATCTTACTGAAAGACACAAAATAAGATCTGCACATATGGCAGGCCACACCAAGTTCTTGAATAAGAAGACTAACTGTAATAGTAAAGTGAATGTTTCCTAAAATAGTACTTACATGCAATGCAGCTTTAATCAGAATCCCAATGGTGTTTCCATGAAACTGATTAGGATTATTTAGAAGTTCTCAGTAGGTATTAAAATTTACCAAAAGTTCACTCTAGTGAGAAATGGTCTTAACAGAGTAATGGGCAAAAAGATCAGTGGAATAGAATAGAGATTCTAGGAAAAACTGGCCCTGGGTCTACAGGAAGGACTTAATATAAGTAAAAGGTGGCATTTAGGTTCATTGAGAAAATGATAATTTATTTATTAAAGGTGCCAATATTACTGACTATTCATTTGAGAATAAACAAAGCCAGAGCCCTTTCTCATACCATAAACAAAATGAAGTCCAGATGGATTTGAGGATATTTGGTTGGCCTTGAAATCATGGGAGACCTTCTACACAGGGCACAAAATTCAGAAGGTACCAGAAAAAGTAGATATTTATCTATTAATTTATTTATCTATATTGTATATANTCCAATATTCTTGCCTGGAGAATCCCAAGGACAGAGGAGCCTGGTGGGCTATGGTGCGTGCAGTCTCAAAGAGTCAGATACGACTGAGTGACTGAGCATGAGCACAGACTCTAAACAAATATTTTATAAAAAAAAAAAAAAAATTTTAATGTCCTGTTTGTAGAGGAAAGAAAGTTAGAATTAAAATAATAGACAACAGTATCATACAAAGTAGGGGATAAATTCCTATGTCTTAAGATTCTTGATTGATCTTCCAACAGGCGACTGATCGCTTCCACTGTGCACTCCTATTAGATTGTGCTGCATTAAATCCTTTGATCCATTCTAACTTTCTCCCTTTAACTCATACATTCTGACCCCTGTCCTAGTTGCTACTGTGTGTGCCTCTGAATGACTGACTAGAGTCAGTCACTAGAAAAGACTGGAGCAGTCTTTTCTTTAAATATTAAAAAGCTAAGACAGGCCCATGCAAAGACTGGTTCTAAAATTTGTCTTCATTTGAAACTATTCTTTTAAATGTTAGAATGCCTTTTTTAATTCAAAAAAATTAAACATGTGAATTTTGTTAACATGGGCATCCAGTCCCATCACTTCATGGCAAATAGCAGGGAAAAAGTGGAAACAGTGACAGGTTTTATTTTGTTGGGCTCCAAAATCACTGCAGATGGGAATTGCAGCCATGAAATTAAAAGACACTTGCTCCTTGGAAGAAAAGCTCTGACAAACCTAGACCGCATATTAAAAAGCAGAGACATGACTTTGCCGCCAAAGTCCGTCTAGTCAAAGCTATGGTTTTTTCAGTAGTTATGTATAGATGTGAGAGTTGGACCATAAAGAAAGCTGAGCGCCAAAGAATTGATGCTTTTGAACTGTGGTGTTGGAGAAGACTCTTGAGAGTCCTTTGGAATGTAAGGAGATCCAACTAGTCCATCGTAAAAGAAATCAGTCTTGAATATTCATTGGAAGGACTGATGATGAAGCTGAAACTCCAATACTTTGGCCACCTGATGCAAAGTGCTGACTTATTGGAAAAGACCCTGATGCTGGGCAAGATTGAAGGCAGGAGGAGAAGGGGACAATAGAGGATGAAATTGTTGGATGGCATCACTCACTTGATGGACATTAGTTTGAGCAAGCTCCCAGAGTTGGTGCTGCAGGCCTGGCATGCTGCAGTACATGGGGTCACACAGAGTTGGACACGACTGAGTGACTGAACTGACTGATATATTGGCTTGGCCAAAAGTTTGAGTTTCCTGGAAGAGCATTTGAAGCCCAAATGAACTTTTCGGCCAACCCAATATTAATGTCAGAATTTTGATACAAGAGCTGATTTTTTCACAAACTGATAGGCTGGGAGAATCATCATTTCATAAGTTTCTTCTAGCCTGACAAATAGACCAAGAAACCTGACTACTCAATCCCAGATATGAGGTATTCATTTGATATAAATATATATTTTCTACAGATTTTCTCTTAGGACATGTAAAGCCCAATTAGTCAAATGACCCTGTTTCTTTTCTCTGTTATGTTTTAAAGATTGGTAATCTTTCCAGATGGTTCAGTCTTTCTTCTTTAAGTAGCAGTATTTTTTTTCTAAAAGTTATTAGAATTCTAAATAAAGTGCCACTTCTGAGATATGTCATCTTGTATTTCATTATTTTTGAGTTGTTAAAAAAATTTATTATGCCAAACATCTGGCACATTTAAAAAATTTCTGTTTGTCATTTGGTATGTTAAATAGCATTGGTTTTCTTTTACTTTTGATTGGAAAAAATTCATTCTCATTTAGTATTTTCCACTGGCATATTAAAACAAGGGGAAAAGATTGCACAGTTGTCTATAAACCAAATAGATTGAAAAGCAAAGGTGAATGAGGTGCAAATGTTAGCTCATTTCTGTTTTCTAATAACAAAACTCATTCCCTCTCATATCAATTTTACGATGAGTTGGACTGTTGTACTTGGTATTCAAGGCACTGCTTGGCCTGAACCCCTACTCCCTTTGCAAAGTTTGTGTCACCGTTTTCCTTCCCACATTCTGTCCCACAGTCAGCATTAGTTGAACACCACTGCCGTGGTCTTGCAGAAATAGTTCCAGTTCTTAGCACTTGCATTATGTAGGTCTTATCAGATATAAGCAGCCCCTCACTGCTTTTCAGCCACTTATATATCCTTCACTTCCTGGGAAGTCACAGTTGTTCAGTTCAGTTTAGTCGCTCAGTTGTGTCCGACTCTTTGTGACCCCATGAATCGCAGCACGCCAGGCCTCCCTGTCCATCACCAACTCCCAGAGTTTACTCAAACTCAAGTTCATCGAGTTGATGATGCCATCCAACCATCTCATCCTCTGTCGTCCCCTTCTTCTCCTGCCCCCAATCCCTCCCAGCATCAGGGTATTTTCCAATGAGTCAACTCTTCACGTGAGGTGGCCAAAGTATTGGAGTTTCAGCTTCAGCATCAGTCCTTCCANAATGTGTGCCCTTGTGAGATCTCTTGCTAGAGTAGTGTCTATGCAAATCAGATTGTAGGCCAGGGAAGCCTTCCTGGGTTAATGTTAGAGCCCAGGTTTTAATGACCAGGTAAAGCTGTATAAATAAGGAGGGAAAGCTATTCTGGGAAGAACCTCCACTGTAGGAAGGCATGAAGTCCTGACACCATGGTGAGTATCAGGGCTGATACTTGATTCGATATTTTGTAAGCTGAAAGCACAACACAAGGAGATGAATACTGGCAGATGACACTGGAGAGGGAGGTAAGGGCCTGGTTAGAGGAGGCCAGTTAACAGTTTGTAACCAGGAATGCGGATGAGACTGGCTGGCAGCGCAGCTCCTTCTCTTCTTCTGAGTATAGCGGTGCTTCCCAGGGCTCGTGGAGAATCTGCCCAAACCAGCTGATCTCCAGCCTAGTTCAACATGAATGTCATGTATATCATTCACAGCTAAAAATGATCCCCAAGATGTCACGAGGTCAGTAATTGTGCCATTTCACAAAGAAGACAACCCAAGACAAGAAGCGGTGGTTACGTGGCCTTTGAGAACAAGTTTGTTTTAGCGTGGCTCTTTTAAGTGGAAATGTTTTTAATAGTTAGCTTACTATACTAAAAGATGTATAACATGCCAAAAGCTGTGTGTCCCAGCTGTGCTGTGCTATGCTTAGTCGCTCAGTCGTGTCTGACTCTTTGTGACCGCATGAACTGTAGCCCACCAGGCTCCTCTGTCCGTGTGGATTCTCCAGGCAAGAATGCTGGAGTGGGTTGCCATGCCCTCCTCCAGGGGATCTTACCAACCCAGGGATCGAATCTAGGTCTCCCGCATTGCAGGTGAATTCTTTACCATCTGAGCCACCAGGGAAGCCCCAGAGATACCAAGAATTCATTACTGATGAGATTCCTGGTTTTTAATTTGTTTGTTTGTTTTTGGTCCCTTATTTAAAATACTGAAATAATACAGTTTGAATTCTAGAGAAATATGACCTGGAGGTATGCTTACATAGCAAAAACGGGGGCATTACATCCAAAACATGAAACTTGTGAATTTCTGGAAGATGATACATGGCACTTGAAAATAGAGGCGAATATCCAACAGAGATAATTAATATTTTTAATTAGATCCTGCGTTCATGGAAGGAATATGACCTGGCAGTAATGATTATAAATTATGGAAAAAAGGTGTTGGACATCTCATCAGGTTGCAAATCTCTATTTGGTACTACAGACCAAGAGGAAATGCAAGAAGAGGTAATTGTTTGTTCTTGTGTCTCATCTTTAAACATACACTATTTGAATTTTATGAGATGGTCATGTAGTGTTAGTAAATATGTTAGATAATTGATCAGTTTTTAGTTTTTCACATTTACATAAAAGAAGATGAATGTAAAGTGAAGAGCTTCTTTTTTCTTCCTTTTCTTATAATTTTAATTACTATCCAGAAAATGAAAAGGTCTCCATGCTAGAATATTGAATAGCCAGCCCCCTGTTTCTAGCATCGATGATCAGTTAGGTGTTGACAGAGAGCTTCCAAGTTGGACTTTGGACTGAAAGCCCTCAGAGGTCTCTCCCAGACTGAAGATTTTTGTTATTTTGGGTGGGTCCCTGAATGAAGTAAATACATCAGAGCTTTTATCTCTGCCCCAAGTAGATTTCCTGAACTTCTTGTGACACCTACATTGTCTTCTTTATGAGGCTTCTAATGTTTGAGATAACTTTTCAGTAAGACCCATGCTGCCTCCAAGCATGGGTCTTACTAGATCTTTATTGCCTTTTCTTGAAACTATGTGGTTAACTGATTTTGTAGATAGATTAAATTTTGAAACATTGCTTAGTTTATCCAGTTTCTGAGGTGTACTGGGAACTGCTTTCAGCCTCTTTTGTGATCAGGATTGGGATTGAGGCTATGACCCCTAAGCCTGTTTCAATTGGAGTAGCTCTATCTCTATTATATGTGGAAAAAGCTTAAGAAAAATCCCATGGTTTCCCTGGATGAATATTTTTAGCCATAATACTTTTTTGGGTGTGTGTGGGGATTCTAGAGAAAGTTTTGATTAAGCTGAAAGTGACTTGAGGATTTTTTCTTCACCAAGTGTCCACTCTCAGAGTCCATCAGCCAGCCCCTTCATGTCACTGAGGCCTTGACTCAGGGGCCTGCCCCTTCACATCATGGCAGGACAGGACCCCATCCCTCTTTCCTGGGAGCCTTTAGTCCAGCAGCAGGTTGTGATACTTCTTTCAGAGTAAGACTGTGGGGATTGAGAGTCTAGTATCTAGTTTATAGAAGTCAGAAATCATTATAAGCATCCAGGGTCCCTCAAAGCCTAAAAGACCTTGGGAGGTCTATTTTTTCAGAGAGTGGGAGACATAAACCAGTCAGTTCTCAGGCTCAGACAGATGAAAACATGGTGGGGAGCCTGAGTGCAGACCCGCCAATTCTTAATCCACTAATTACTGATCATGTTACGTTCAATGAAAGGCAAAGTAGCAAAAGCAATTAGCTTAGTTGTAAGGAAGCTCCCTCTGGGGCCAGAAAAAAAAAAAAAGGAAAAAAAGAAAAGGATACATTTCTGAAAGCATTTTCTTTTGAGGATTTTGAGAGCTGTGGCTTCAGCTGCTCTCAGAAGGGTGTGTGTAGGGGGGAGGGGCTGGTTAGGGGAGTAGAAATTACTGGGAGGAAGGGAAAGGAAAGAGAAGAACTATTTTGATCAACCTCCATAAAACACTTCGTATTGTGTCTGGCATTTAGTTAGACTACAATGGGTTGTTATTATTTATATTTATATGTTATAAATATATATTTATATGTTTATATATAAATGTATATCTATTTATATGTTAACATATGTTATTTATTGATTATTAATTATTAGTACATTTAGCCATGTAGATTGATAACTTTGTCTACCAAGTATGAAAATATCATAATTTAAAGAATGTTATTTGAAAATGACAATTCTTGAAACATGAAGTATGTTCTGACATTTAACCAATGTTTCTAGGCTTCTTCCAAGAAGTCTTGCAAGAATAAGAAGCCACAGCAGGTATTAGTACCTGAAAAAATAAATGAACAGCTGGTTTTATTGGAGACACATCTACTCAAACTGACAAAGCAATGTAATCTATTATTTTTCTTTCTGTATACTTCTGTTTAGCATTTTGTTTTTTTTAAATAAGAAAATATTTTGTTAAAAGGATTAGAATGAGATTAGCATTTGGTAAGCCCTTTAAGGTTTATGCAGTACTTTTACATTATGTCCTTAATCCTAACAATACTCTGTTAATAAGGGATGGCTAACCCGGTTTTTTACAGATGTAGCTCATAAAGATTAAGCGGTTTATTTAGGATTACATAGTTGACTTGGATTTGAGCTTAAAGCTTCTCATTCTAAAGCAAAATTTCTCAACCTCGACAATATTGCCAATTTGGGCCAGATAATTCTTTGCTGTGGGGGACTGTCTTAGGCATTGTGGATGTAAAACCGCATCTCTGGCCTTTGTCCAGAGATGCATAGCACACCATCCCCTCAGGACTGTCTTCCCTAGCTCCGCCCCTCACCAGCCCAGGCTGTGATGCAAATGTTGGCAAATGTAGAAGTGGAACACAGCATTGAGAATCACTGTTCTAAAGGCAGAAAAGTCACTGAGAACTAAAGGGATAGTGTGAGAGGTGTTAATATACGAGTGATTTGAACCATGTGAAACACTCAAGTGAAACTGGTTTTAGTCATTGTGCTGGATCGTAATTTAGTCATAGACCAAAATGCTGACACGGCGATTGGAGTTTTGGGGTTTGCATCTTGGAAATCTGATTAAGAAATTGATTTAATTTCTGGTGATGACAACTGTTCTCACATTTTTAAGAAGCAGGACTTCAGACCTTCTAGAAGAACAAAAGAGTACCTAAGTTTCTCTCATTAGGAGGTTCCCCTTTTGGCCCCTTGGTTTTTGGGAAGTAACTGCCCTTGTAGAATTCTGTGTCCCCATCTCACCTTGCTGACTCTGTGCCTCAGTTATATATAGGTGGTTGTACTGTTTCAGAATTCCCTGACTTGAATCTTTCACTTTATTTAAACACACTCCGTGTCTCTGTCTCTAACTGAACTTATGAATTGAACCCAATGCTCTATTATTCACATAACCTATAAACCTAGTTTTGGGAAAGCTGTAATTGCCTGGTTACATATAAAAATTATAATTCCTTAAATTATAGAAAGGGTTCTGGAAATGTGAAGGGTTCTGGAAATGTGAATTACTTATTTTCACATTATTACCCCTTCCACATTTCACTAAGGAGCGCAATGTGAAGTTACTAGCTAAACAATAGGTTCAGTAACAAAGCAATAATAAAAATAACAGTTTTATACAGTGGTCTCTGTGTACCAAGAACTATTTTAAGTGTTTTTTTCATATTAAGACTTATATAGTTCTTCTATAACAGCCATATGAGAAAGGTACTATCATTATCTCATTTAAAGATAAGGAAAGTGAGGCACAGAGAAGGCAAGTAACTTCCCAAGGTCTTGTAACTAAAATGTGTCAGACTTAGGGACTTCCCTGGTGGTCCAGTGGTTAAGACTCCACCCTTCCAATGCAAGGGGATGGGTTCAATGCCTGGTCAGGGAACTAAGATCCTGCATCCCACATGCTGGCAGCCAGAAAAAAACTGTCAAACTGAGAATCTTAATCCAGGCTTCCTGGCTGTAGGGGCTGTGCTGTTCTTAATTTACACTTGACTGTCTTTTAAAGATAATTTTATTAACATGCAGTTCAAATAATTGCAGGTTTCTGTGTCTGATATTTGTTGACAGACCATAGCTGTTGAGTAATAAAGACTCATGCTTTGGAAATTCTTCCAAAGTCTGTTTGGTAATAGACTCCTTGGTCTTTAGGGGAAAAAAATGAAAGGAAAATAATTGAATTATTGAATCTCTTAAATCTCAAAAATATGTAATTTATATTTTAAGACAAGAATTTAGGACATATAAAATGTTTACTTGGGTATTTTCCTATTTTTCACCTTCCACCAAAGGATTTTCATTTTTGGTTATTGATATTAAACAGAACCAACAATTTACTAATTCTTTTTAACCTTAGATATTACAACTGAACTTTCAGGAGCAGAAGATCCCATATTTCTCTACCCTATAGTTTTAAACTGGTCGGTCAAAGGTGCTGTGAAAGAAGGTAGGTTATCTTGTCATACATAAGTTGCTTGCTCACCTTACTGCTGAAGATCTTTTATTCTGTGAATTCTGTTGTTGGCAGAAGATTTCAGGTTCTTACCCATTCAGAATAAAGCGGACTCTTGATTGTCAAGTAAGGGAAGAGACCAAAATAGGTACATGATTTAAAATCTGAAAATATGGAACCTTGATGTTGACTTATTTTGGTAATTGGTGTTGTGTTGTTATGAAGCTTACAAAAACTAGGAACTGAACAATGTATTAGTGATTTTTAAGCTCAACTGTGAAGAAATAGCAGCATTATTGTTTATCTCAGAGTGAAATATACTAAAAATTAGGATGACTAGTTATTCTGGCAGTTATTAGCAGTATATTTCCCCCTACCTAGTCGTATGTTAGGGAACTTTTAGGAAATCTTTCAAACACTGAGATATTTGGAAAATAAATGAAACTTAGACTATAAAGGAATGTTTGATCATAGGAAAACAATAGTCTCACCACATTTACTCTTATACATTTTTAAAAAGTAAGAAATCTAGGAAGAAGTTAAGGGACTTTCCTGGCAGCCCAGTGGTTACGACTCTGTGCTTCCAGTGCAGGGACCGTGGGTTTGATTCTTTGTTGAGGAACTAAGATTCCATATGCTGCGTGGCACAGGCCAGCAACAGCAAAAAAATCAGGTTAATAAGCTTGCCTGTTAGAACAAAATGACTAATAGCAATAGTATCCTTTCAATGCCATTAACCAAGTGTATTGGTGATTATGCATGAATTTCCTTGTTTTCACAGTGATGAAATTTAAGCAGAGACCTAGATTCCTGGAATTCTTTACACAAGTTATGCAAAAATGTATGCATGATGAAAAATTTCAACTTATGGTGGAGATAACAAATCCCATCTATGACTTCTTGAAAAGGTACTGTAATATTTGTTTTATTAGCATTAACAACTTTAAAAAATGAGTAAAATTGTTCCTTAAAGATACATGGTGTGATTGTGAGTTAGTCACTCTGTTGTGTCTGACTCTTTGCTACCCCTTGGACTGTAGCCCACCAAGCTCCTCCATTTATAGAATTCTTCCAGGCAAGAATACTGGAATAGGTTGCCATTTCCTTCTCCAAGGGATCTTCCTGATCCAGGGATGGAACCTGGGTCCATCCTGGGTCCAGGTAGATTCTTTACTATCTGAGCTACCAGGGAAGCTCTAAAGTCATATAAAGTGGATGAAAAAGAGAGTGGTGTCTATGCAGTTAAAACAGGCATCTAGAAGGTGGTGAGTATCTGTGTCCGGGTAAATAAATAAATACACATAAAAATGTCTGTACACCTGAATAAAAGAATAATAGAGCATGTTCATATTTCTAGTAGGAAATAAATTATCCCTTTTGCTATTGAGACATGTTGGATGATTGAATTTCTAGGCCATTAGCATCTCTCACACAAACTTTGGGGTTCAGTTATTAATTTTTTCATCCAGTTTTATTGAGATATGATTTACATACAGCACTGTATAAATTTTAAGGTGGGTGACATAATGATTTGGCTTATATACATCATTGAAATGATTACCACAGTGGGTTTGGTGAACATCCATCATCTCATATAAATGCGACATTAACAAAGCAGAAAAATTTTTTTTCTTCCTTGTGGTGAGAATTCTTAAGATTTGCCCTCTTAAAAACTTTTATTTATAACATGTAGCCTGCATGTTAGTTACCTTTATCATGTTGTACATTGCATCCCTAGCTGTTCTTTGCCTTGTAACAGGGAGTGTGTGCCTTTGGGCTGTCTTTAGCAATTCCCCTCCCCCTCTCTTCAGTGGAGTCCCATTTGTTTACTAATGCTTTCTTTCCTTTAAGGTGTCTACAACTCATTTTAACAGGTTAAAATGATTGCTTGCTTTTGCTTTTGTTTCCCTTGCCTGAGGAGACATAGCCCAAAAATATATTGCTAAAATTCATGTCAAAGAGCATACTGCCTATGTTTTCTTCTAGGAGTTTTATGGTTTCAGGTTCTTCCCTTTAAGTCTTTATCCATTTCGAGTTTATTTTTGTGTATGGTGTGGTTTGAAGTCTGGTTTTGGCCATGTACTATGCTTTTCTAATTCTCCACAGTAGCAAGCAGTTATCCCTTGGGACTCCCATATGTATAGTGAATGGAGTTCCTCAAATAGAAGTAGTACAACTTTAAAGTTAACCCTTTTATTCACTAAGCCCAAATGGCTCTCTCTGCCCCCAAAGAAAATTGTGTTTTGTGCCAACTAGTTATGAGAGATGCCAAATGAATCCAACTTTTCTTCCAATAGTTGGGTTTTGATTTTAAAACTGGACATAGGTCTAATCTATCTCATTGTAGGAAAAACATCAGTAACACAAGATCTACTTTAAAAATGTCAAAGAGGAACATTCTCATAAAAACCTACAAAGAAATATTCTTCCTAAAATAGGCACTTCATTTATTAGAACAAAAGCTTGAGATACATGTGCTTCATATTTTCAAAAGATGAAAGAGGAAATTGCTTTTGTTACATGAAAGCAGACCATTGTAATGAGACAGCTGGACAAAATTAGAAAGTCCCACCAAATGAACTAAACGATAGCCAAAATGAGAACCTTGGAAGCTGTAAATAATATTCTTGATACCAAAGAAAATCAGAAGGCACTTTCAATGTGTCCTAAAATTTGGAGGGTGACCATGGAGGTCTGACTGAAGAAGAATAGATAATCTGAAACAGAATAAGTGTCTGAGACCGGCGGTACAACAGAAGATGTGAGTTTGGAGACTGAGCAGTGTAAGTCAAAGGTAATGGTTTCAATATTTAAGGCTGGGCAGATGTTCTAGGATGCTCTTCAAGTCAAGAAGTATAGAGGAGGGGCAGAAGTAACTCCTTGATTTCTACTTTGCTGGTAATGTCTATTTTCTTTTTGTATTTGTATACCTGACATATTTTTGCATGAAGAAATTTTTTTCTACTTCAACAGACAAATATGCAGCAATATTTTCTTCCAATTTTTTAGTTTCACAGTTTAGATTTAGTGTTTTAATCCATATGGAATTTATTTTGGTGTAGGGATTTAGATTAAACTTTAGGATTTGTTGTCTTTAAATTTTAATCATTTGTCTTGGGAACATTTAAAAGTAATCTCTTTGTACTTATTTTTAATGCTACCTTTTCACACTGGTGATTCTATTAATAATGCGTATAAATCACAATGAAGATATTTCATGAATTTTTATGTTCTACATAATAAAAAATCAAAGTATATGGAAATAACTGATGAAAAGACAAGGCTAATTTGATAGAAAATAATGATATTGAGAGTTTAACATGATACTTAAAAAGAGATAGGGACATAGAAAATGTACATAACTAATAAGATTAATTTAATATATATAGCCAACTGAGACTAAACACCCTTTATATTATAACACTTATTAAATTTTAGAAAAGTAATTTTTAAACTGCAAAATAAATCTCAATAGATCACCTAGCCTAAAATTTGTAAAGATCACATTCATACAATGCAATTCATACAATAAAACTGAAATATTATAACAAAATAAATTACTGGTATATATAATTGTATATAATATATAAAAAGAAATCTAAAAGTATAGCACATGAAAATCATGCTAGTGAGAAGCCCAATAGCAAATGTATTCAAAGCAGTAAAAACAAATTTTTAGCTTTAGAAGCTTCTGTTACTTACTAAAAGATGAAAATAAAATTAAATTAGCTTTTATTGAACTCGAGAAATTGGTAAAATAACAAAATAAATGTAAGACAGCAGAAAGAAGAAATAGAATATGTTGAAATTAATCAATTATAAATTGGTTTTAAAATAGTCCAATGGTAACTGCTAGGTTTAGTCTTTGAAGATATGAATAAATTAGGTAATCTTCTGGCCAACAAAATAAGAAAAAGTGAAATGTAAGTAATTGAAAGAGGAAATAGTCATAAATTTGGAAGTTGTTAAATTTTAGAAAACAATGTATGTAATTTAACATGAATCAATTTGAAAATCTAACTTAAAGTGATGATTATCTGGAAAATTTTTAATTATATGAATTTATTGAAGCAGTAAAAAATTTGGAGAGATCAAAAAATTTTAAGGCAAGTTCTCTAATAGGAACAAATAATTTTGTTTTACATAAAGCTGCTTCAGGGCTTCCCAGGTGGCTCAGTGGCAAAGAAGCTACCTGTCAATTCAGGAGACACAGGAGATGCGGATTTGATCACTGGGTGGGGAAGCTCCCCTGGAGTAGGAAATGGCGCCCCTCTCCAGTATTCTTGCCTGAAGATTCCATGAACAGAGGAGCTTGGCAGGCTCCAGTCCATGGGGTCACAAAGAATAGGACATGACTGAGCACACACACTTCAGAGTGTAGTTGTGGTTTCCTTGTAAATTTTTACAGCAGGCTCTGATAACACGTGTCAAAAGAGAATAAAAAGGTAGAAAATTAGAGGTTGACTTTATTTAGAAATATACAGAATCAAAATAAAACACTAGCTTATAAATTTAGCTGTGAGAATCTAGATTTTGTTCTCAATATATCATAAGAAGTCTAAATATAATTGTCACTAGCGGTCAAAGGAGTTTTTTGTGCTGAAAAGTCATGTCGTGAAGTTCAGCAGCAGCAATTCCTAGAAAATTAGAAGATTTTCTGTTAAAATATGCAGCACCACACAGAAACCTATTATTCCTCTTATCTTTTAATACCATTCTGAACATCATTGGCAGTGCCTTAAAGTAAGAAATAGAAATTAGGATTAGAATTCATGTGATTATCATATGATAGGGTCCCCAAAATGTTTGCCAAATGAATTCCAAGGTGAAGTACTCGGAAGATAGAAGGATTGATATCTGCAAATTATTATTATTTTTAACTTAACAAGTTAACTAAAAACTATCAGAACTAACAATAGAATTCCATAGGATGGGTAGATGCAAAATCAGTGCTTTGCCATGTCAACTAGAAAGTATAATGGAAAAATGATTCTGTTGTTGTGAAGTACAGGACTAAGTTTATCAGAAATTGTGAGGGGATTTAGGCTAATATAAAGAAGACCAACATCTTTTCTAAGAGGTATAAAAAAAATGACTGGAATAAATGGAGATTCATTGTACATTACTTGATGAGCAGATGGAATATTGTAAAGATTTCTAGTATTCTCAAATTAATTTATTGGTTTAATGCAATTCCAATCAGATTAGTTTATATGGAATGGGCTAGAATAATGAAATATATTTAAAGAATAAAAAAGGGTGAAAAGAGAGGCTTTTCTGTCAGATAAAGTATAACAGAGTTGTATTTATGAATTAATAGGCAGACAGTCATTGGAAATCAATGTTTTGGGCCAGAAGCAGGCATGACGTATGTAACCAAAACAATGAATAAGCCATGAAATCAAAGATCAATAACATTGATTATATGAAAGTTTAGAAATATTATTTTTCAGAACACATCATCAACAAAATAGAAAGCAGTCAGAGCTAGGAGAAAGCATTGTATGAAGAGGTGGAGGAGCGGAGGAGTTTACTCAGTGGAAGAGCTTTCTGCAGAGCATGGAGGAGATTGCTGAGAGGATGGGGAAGATGGGGCTCCATAACCTGCTCTTCTTCCCAGCTCTTTCTGGAATAACAGCAATAAAAGCATTCTGGTGTGGTGGGAGAGGTAGGAGGCAGAGGACAGATCAGGCTGGTTGGAGAACAGCAGGCAACTAGGCTCAGAATGTAAGCACAGACGCGATTCCCATCTCCCACTGATCAGTGGTCCAAGCTTTGTGTTCTAGTTCAGGCAGACAAAACGTTTGCCAAAATGAAAGCCAGCTAGGGGAAAGGGAGAACATTGAATATTGTTGGCCGTTGGCATACATTCTGCATCTAGGCATTCAGCCAACCATGGGTGGGAAATATTCGAAAAAAAATTCAAAAAAATTCCTGAAAGTTCCAAAAAAGTAAAACTTGAACTTGCCACACTCCTGTCTACTATGTACATAATATTTATGTTGTATTTACAGTTATTTATACAGAACTGAACTAATACAGAATTTGCATTGCATTTTAAATGATTTAAAGAGATGATTTAAACTATATAGGAGGATGTGTGTAGGTTATAATAACATGCCATTTTATATAAAGACTTGAGCCTCCTTGACTTTTGGTATCTGAGAGGGTCCTGGAACTGAGCCCCTGCAGATACCCATGGGTGAGTGTAGTAATCTAAAATGCTTAGCTCCTGTTCATGTCCGAAGGTGGTAGTGGCTGGGAGCTTGCACATGAGGGAACTAAAGGGACTGAAGTCAGTTGGAAACAAGATATCTTGTTTAGGGTCACTCGGTTTTAAAGGAAAGTGTTCACTTTTTTTTTTTTTCAGTTCGATTCTGTTCCTTCTACATCATATCAATACTTCAGCTCTCATCACATTTGATGTTATGATTTACATTTTGCTCTTTCGAGAGGCCAGCTATTCCTTGATGGGACTGGGAGTATGACAGTCTCATTTATGCATGGAATGCAACCAATTTTGGAAATGCTTCTAGAATAATTTCAGTGACAATACTCATTAAAGATTTATTACTTTGGGGTAGTTTTGCAAAATCTTGCATATGCTTTTAACTGACTTTATTTTTTTGTAATAGGAGGAATGAGTCCCTTCTCGGAATGAAAAAAATGAAATACAAGGATACTTCTTTGTCTAGAAAGGCCATCAAACCTGTGAAGAAGTACAGAGCTGCAGTAGTGGAGATCGGAAAAGTAAGTTTCATATAAATTTTGAATTTTCAATTAGTGAACTTAAGAGATTTATGTATCTAGAGATGGTTGGCTGCACTATAATTTATTATAATATTAAACAGAAGATAATACCAACAAGCATAATCTTATAATTATACAATATACTTTAATTCTTAAGTTATATGGATATTTTTATAATCTTCTTTTATCTATGGTGGTACTTCTGTTACTTTTGATAAATAATTTTAATTGAAGGGCATAAAGAAGTCACTGTTTTAATGTCAAGAGATAAGCATTAGAATACAAGTAAATTATGTTGTACTTGGAGAAGGCAATGGCACCCTACTCCAATACTCTTGCCTGGAGAATCCCAGGGATAGGGGAGCATGGTGGGCTGCCGTCTATGGGGTCACACAGAGTCGGACACGACTGAAGTGACTTAGCAGCAGCAGCATGTTGTACTCAGATTTGTGTTCAGATTTTAATTTGTAACATTTTTTTATCTCCTGTGTTAAGACTACAGAAATGAAGCCAAAAAGAAAATCTAAAAGAAAGGAAACTCTAAGAGAATTTTTGAATAAAAATCCTTTTATTTCTGAAATGCCGGAGCATGAAAGGTATTGACTGATAAATTAATTAATGTTCACTTGAGGGTTACATGTGTTATGCATTATTTTAGGCACCAGGGATACACTGGTAGACACAACAGATAGGATCACTGCCATCAGTGAGCTTACATACTAATTTATTATTAGTACTAATAATACTAATTATTCCTTCATCTTCTTTATTTAAATTATGGTATAATTTAGGTGAGTATAGAAAATAATATAAAAAATGAACATGTACTCAATATGCAATGTGCCATATAAAACGTTTGGAACGCATTTCTGTCCCCCCTCTATCCCAGTAGTAATACTATCCAAAACCTGGCATTTATCATGCTTATGAGTGGCTTTATACTTCAATTATATATATGTGTATACCCGTAAAGAACATGTGGTGTTATTTTTTACAGTTTGTTTTGCCAATATGCTCTTATTCCTCAATATTATGTTTGTGAGATTTTTTTCATGTTGATTATACATAAGTCCTGTCCACATTTCCATTATGTAAACAGTGCTACAAAGGACATTCTTATATACATCTCCACATGTACATTTGAGAGTTTCTGGGGTAAATACATAGGAGTGTAGTTTCCAGGTCATGAACATTTTAACATTTCTAGATATTGCTAAATTGCTTTAGAATTTTCATCAGTGGTATGTCAGGTTTCCATTATTCAGCATCTTTCCTGATACTTACTATTATTATCAGATTTAAAAATTTTTGTGTACCTATGAGCTGTGAATTTTTATTTCTTTGACTATGAATGAGTTTAGGCAGCTTTTCATATTTGTTTAAACCCTAGGGTTTTCTATTCTCAAGACTGCTTGTTTAGATCCTTTGCTCATTTACAACTTTTGTTTTCTCATTTATTTTTAGAGGTTTGGATACTAATGCTTTTCCCAGATGTCATTCATCCATTTGCATTTTCAAGGTCTTCTTTTTTAAATTAAAAGCTATAATTGTTAATGGGATCAAAGGTATCCTTTGATTATTTTATTTTTATTTTTATTATTTCCTTTTATTATTTTTGAAATTTTTCTCTGAGTAAAATATTTTCTTTTTCATTGTAAATATTTGATTTTACAATTGGGAATTTCATCCAACTCGAATCAATTTTTTTGAATGGTAAGAGAAAGAGTGTCTCTCTCCCCTTTTTAAGTTTCATTATAGCCAATTGAATAACTCTTTTTTTTGAGTAGTCTATTCTTTCATTTTTGTCACTTAGCAAGTTGTCATATGTATCAAATTTAGGAAATTGTCTTTGATTTCTTGTTTTCTAAAAATTTTCTTCTGATTGTGTACAATTTTGCTGAATATTTTTCCACTGAGATTTTTTTCTCTTTTAATCTGTGCAAAGTACATTAGTATGTAAATGTTAAGCTGTGTGCCGTGTCTTTGTCTCACACGTTTGACTCCAATGGGGTGTCTTCCGAAACCAACCGCTTCTCAGGGGGTTGGGACAAGACAGTGGAGTGGAAGGGCCTCAGGCTCACCTCCTCCCTCGGGCTCACCTCCTCCCTTGGGCACACCAGAATCACAACTGCAGAACAACCGTCAATAAATAAAACTGGAAACTGCCCCCAGAGATATCCTATATCCAAAGATACAAAACCAACCAATTCTCTGACTCCAACTGAGAGAACTGAGAGACCCTCATACACCCTTCACCTCGTTTTCTCCTAGTGGTAACACTTGTAGAACTATAGCATAAAAATCCAACTCAATTCTCTCTACCTGGAGACAGCCTTAGCCCCACCAGTTGAAGGACCCTGCCCCACCTGTGGTGCCAGCCACAAATAGGATGGCCAGGCTACACACGTTTCTGTTGCTTCTGTTCCAACTAGGGGGTTCCCATGACTCCTCTTCCCCTCATTCAGGTCAGTAATTTGCTAGAGTGGCTCACAGAATTCAGGAAAATATTTTGCTTATGTTTACTGGTTTATAATGGATGCAAATGACTAGCCAGATGCAGGAGTTCATAGGATGATGTCTGAAAGGGTCCTGCGCACAGGAGCGTCTGTCTCTATGGAGTTGTGATGTGTCACTGTCCCAGCACGTGGATGTATTCACCAACCTGGAGGCCTTCTGAACTTCACTGTTAATAGGTTTTTTAAAAAACCTAGTCTGCAGTTAATCTCTCCAGAGACTGGGGGTTGAGACTGAAAGTTCCACTTACTCATCATGTGTTTGATTTTTCTGGTGACCAGCCTCTATCCTGAGGCTCTCTAACAGCCAACCCTGAGTCACCTTACTAGACTCAGGTGTATTCCAAAGGAATTCATCGTGAACAACATGAGACTCCTGTCACTCAGGAGATTCCAAGTTTTAGGAGTTCTATACCTGAAATAAAAGACAAAGACCAAATATATATATTTTATTACAGCATTCTAGGTCTGCCCACATACATTCATCTTTTTACCCAATGACTCAGTTTCTTTAAGATGAATAGCCAATTTGAGTCTGTGATATTTTTTTTGAGTTCTTTTTGATGAATTCCATTTTTTAGGAGATTATCCATTTTACCAAATTTTCAAATTTATTCATAAAATGTTTATGTTTTCATGTTATTCTTTGAATCTCTGCTATATCTACAGTTACACACTGTATTTCATCCCTAACTTCATTGATTTTTGTCTTCTCTCATATTTTTGTGATTTATCTTGCCAGAGGTTTGTCTACTTTTCCCCCCATTTTTTCAAAGAGCCAAATTTTGTCTTTGTCAGTCCTCTTTATTGTGTTTATCTTCCTTTCCCTTAATTTTTGCTTTTATACTTACTTTTATACTTACTACTTCCCAGTTCCTTTTTTAAAACAGCTTCACTGAGACTTAAGGCAAGCAAAAAATGAGTTTTCCTTCTACCGTCCTAAGTTCTCCAGCTGGAACTTGGTAAAATTAGACTAACAGAAGAGTTGGTCTGTTTCTAACTGTTTAGAAGAGTTTATCTTGTTCTAGAGAAAAAAAGAAGGAGTTTATTAACATTTGCTTATGCATGGGAGAACTCAGTGATGAGTAACTCAAAGGGGTAGTTAGGATTTGGGCTTATAGGGCATCTTAAAAAGGACAGTGAATTTACAGTAGCATGACCAGGGGTGTAGGCTTTCAAGAGCAGCAGACTGTGGTAGAAATATGAGAGAAAACTAATGGAGTAAGACTTGTTTGGGCAGGTCCATCCAGGTGCTGTTTTCCCCTTTTCCCGGTCATAAAATTTCCCAGGAGAGGAGTTTTATGGTATTCTTCATCTTTTTCAGAAGTTTCTATTTTCCCTCACATAAGGGCATCTCCAAGAAGGCATCCTTCTGCATCTATTGATTCTCATTTACCTCCAGCTCAAAATAATCCTGACACAAAAGCGAGAGCTGTCTCCTTGCACCATCCCACCCTCTCTAGCAGGGAAGATGCCTCTGGTTCAGTCACTCTCCTTTGCCTCTTGAGGTGACTTAACCATCTCACATGGAAAGATCCCCTGGAGAAGGAAATGGCAACCCACTCCAGTATTCTTGCCTGGAAAATCCCATGGGTGGAGGAGCCTGCCGGGCTACAGTCCATGGGGTCACAAAGAGTCAGACACAACTGAGCAACTTCACTTTCACAGCCATCTCACACAGGAAAAAGATTGACTTTTATTTTGGAAACTATAGTTTTAATTTTTAGGATTGAGGTATTTAAAACATTTCTGTTTGGAAATCGAGTAACATTACCAAGACAACCAAGTGAAGCGAAGTGAACTGAAAGTCGCTCAATCGTGTCCGACTCTTTGTGACCCCATGGACTGTAGTCCATGAAATTCTCCAGGCCAGAATACTGGAGTGGGTAGCCTTTCCCTTCTTCAGGGAATCTTCCCAACCCAGGGATTGAACCCAGGTCTCCCACATTGCAGACAGATTCTTTACCAGCTGAGCCTCAAGGAAAGCCCAAGAATACTGGAGTGGGTAGCCTATCCTTTCTCCAGCATATTTTCCTGACCCAGGAATTGCACCAGAGTCTCCTGCATTGTGGGCAGATTGTTTTGCAGGCAAATTCTTTACCAGCTGAGCTATCAGAGACGCTAACCAAAGATAACCAAACAACAGCAAAAAGCTCAAAAAACCTTGGATTAAAAGGAAGTCAGTCACCAACAAATAGAGAATAACTCCACACTGAATGATAATATCAACACTGCATGTCGAAAAGAGTTTCCTTCCTTCCTTCCTTCCTCTATTCTCTAGAATATCTGTCCTTCCAGTGCAGCGAGGTCGACCTTCCTTCCTTGCATCTGTCCATCCCTATTTCCCTTCCTTTATTTCTCTGTGTGTGTGTGTTGACTCAGATTCATACTTGTTATCTATTAAAGTGAGCAAGATTCTTTAACTTACAAATTGAGATCTTTTTCCCCCCTTTTTCAGTATAAATCCGGGAGAATGAGGCAGCAGCATCATCAACTGTTTAAAAAAAAAGATTAAGTATTTTGAAGAAATAAAGTCATGCCATATAAACAATTATGTAACTATGAAATTAGATGGGCTACTTTGAGATTTTGATAGAAATAATTTGAAACAAACTGAACATATATTATCCTTAAAGTCTGAACTATTAGCCAAAACTTGAGATATTCGTGTTTTTCAGAGCACATTGGGTATATGGATGTATGAAGTTATTGCATGTAGAGTTGACTGATGTTTTATTTCCTCTGTAGTCTAGATAATGATAGGAAAAATTTGGCTCCGTTGTTTTTCTTTTCCTTAAGGAAAAGAACAGAGAAATGATTTTCTTGTTTAATATTAAAGTTAGTTGATGAATGTGAACATTACCTTATAATTTGGTTGTCTAATCTCAGTGGCCTTTGGGTGACAGAAGAAAAGCTGTTTCGTTTGGGCCTAGGACACAGACAGCAGAGAGAGCCGAAGGCAGGCTGTAGTGTCCTTGTCCTCAGTGTTTATCCTCATGCCTTCCTCATTGTCCTGCTTTACACGTTTAGCACTAAGGAAATGACAAATAAGCCAGAAACATTTGCATAAGGACAGTCAAGTGATTTCTTGCTGTACTTTGTACAAACAGGGATCATTCTTTGTTATAAAATGTCTAGAATTTCTTGTAATTGCAAAACTTCCTTTTCCCTGGACAGAAAAAAGAGAGCCGATGTTCGAAAAGTAGCATATCAATTCCTGGTGGAAAACTTGAATCCTTTAATATTAAGTTATGTTAAAAAGAAGAGGTTCCATCAAATATTTCTTGAGGAGATGCCCTGGAGAGCTCAGATGAACCTGTATCTGGCAAGCGCACACTTCAGCCTCCTTTTAACAAAGCTAGGGGAACATACAAAGATAAAATTTGGTTCTTCACCGATAATGGTCAGGTATAGTATATTGTCAATGAGTACTGTTTTAGTCTCAAAAATATGGATCGTATTTGTATGTGCAGGGCTCCAATGAGGTTGGAGGTAACTTAAAGAGGTTCACAGAGTGCTTTGAAAATTTCTTATCTCAGGATCTTTCCCAAACAAGTGCTGGATATAAGTACTTATGAAGTGCTAATTTGCATACATTTGAATATGCTATTCAATATAGCTTTCAGGGAAAGGAGAAAGTGAATTTTCCAAGAGAAGTTTAATATTAATTGTATCTCTGCATGCTCAGTCTCTCAGTTGTGTTTGATTCTTTGCTACCCTGCGGACTCGAGCCTGTCAGGCTCCTCTGTCCATGGAATTTTCCAGGCAAGAATACAGGCGTGAGTTGGCATTTACTTATCCAGGGGATCTTCCCAACCCAGGGATCAAACCTGCATCTTCTGCATTGCAGGCAGATGCTTTTACCACTGAACCACCAGGGATCCCCCAAAATATTAGTAACCAAAATATTAGTAGGCTTTAGGCACATCTGTGTTTCATTAGAGGTATATTTTAAGCCTCCATAAACACAGGCTATACTTTCTTATATAATTTACACTTTCTGTCATTAATTCAGAAGATATTTTCCAGTTCTTGTTTATTTTTGGTTAAAGTACTAGAGGAGATAAAATGGGAGGTAAAAATATAAGATAAATACATAATACGGAATACCATGTAAGCAGAGTTAACTTTATGTAACCAGAGCTTTTCATTTAAAAAAACTACTCATTGAAGGAATTTCCTGAAGTCTGGTTATTAGTACTGCATGCGTTCACTGCACAGGGCACGGGTTTGATCCCAGTCAGAGAACTATGATCCAACAAACTGCATGTCGTGGTGGTTTAGTGGTTAAGTTGTGTCTGACTCTTTGTGACCCCATGCACTGTAGCCCACCAGGCTCCTCTGATCATGGCAAGAATACTGGAGTGGGTTGCCATTTCCTTCTCTAGGGTATTTCCCAATCCAAGGATCGAACCTTGTGTCTCCTGCTTGACAGGCAGATTCTTTACCACTGAGCTACCTGGGAAGTCCAATGCAGCCAAAACCAAAACAAAACCCTCATTGAGCACTTACTAGAAACAAGGTACTGAGGTAGGCGTGAGGTGCATTCTGAGTTGAACAGGATCTACAAGTTGGAATCTGGTAGAGTGGCTCACAAATGTTCACAAATAATAGTCAATAAAGGTAAAAGGTGAAGTACGCATAAAGTCTTTGTACCTGGGAAGGAGGCTTTCTACTGGCTAAGACTGCCAGAAGAGGTTTCACGAGAAAAGCTACTCGGCCTGAGTCCTGATGGACAGGCAAGATTTAAAAATGGGCAGTAGGCAAACAAGCTTTCCGGAAAGATGGAAGAACGAGTCACAGCCCAGGAAGGAAACTCAGGACAGGAGCCCCTAGTGGTCTGACCAGAGTCTAGGGCATCTGAAAAGGAGAAATGATCAGAAGAGAAGGTCAGTACCAGTACATGAACAGTCTTAACTGTCTATAAATCTGAATTTTAATTTATATATCATGGGAGATTATTAAGGTTTTTTTTTTAAGCAGGGCTATGATAAGAAATTTTTCTGATAGAAAGATACTGGATGGATTGGAGGAAGGAGAGACTAATAATGATAGGGATATGAATTAAGAGGGTATTTATTTCAGTAATCCAGTGATAAAATATGCAGGTTGAAATCTGCAAGGAACTTGAACCCAGTTTCTGTTTCTCCAGAGTTTTGGTTAAAATAAAATTCTGGTCTATGTGGGCTAGACCAGGTTAGCATTTAGAAAGTACTTAGATTTCTTGACGGAGAAAACTTTTAGCAGTGTGACCCATTTTTGAGGCTCTGAAAAGGAGAAGAGTTCAGATCAAATGGGCTTCCTTATTATCCTCTGGACGTGGAGAACTGTTTTCATCTGACTGTCCAGTCACACATGACCATTCATGCAGCATTACTTGGCAGCATGACAGTTAAACAATGACTGAAAGTCTCAGGCAGTAAAGACTCTGCCTGCAGTGTGGGAGACCCGGGTTCAATCCCTGGTCTGGGAAGATCCTCTGGAAAAGGAAAGGGCAACCCACTCCAGTATTCGTGCCTGGGGAGTTCATGGACAGAGGAGCCTGGTGGGGTACAGTCCATGGGGACACAAAGAGTAGGACACGACTCAGTGACTTTCACTCACTTGAATTTGTATCAGGGTAACTTGGTGCTAAATCCAATTTCACTAAAACATTTATTTATTTATTTAGTATTTGACAGAATTCAGTTTTGCTTCTATTGTTTTTTTAATGAGTTTTTTTTCCTTTTGCAGTTTCCGATCATGTGACCCTACTATGTTCTCACTGTATAATTCAGGAACAGTACTGCCAACAGGAAAATTGACTCTAGAAAACTATAAAGGGATGCTTGATTTCCTTCTTACAGCTAAAAAAAGAAAGGCTCACTTACCATCAGGTAAAATAAATGCGTTATATACTATCAAATTGTCTTTAGATATTTTTATTCACAAGTGGAACACACACATACACAAACACATGTTCCCTGACATGCACCCCAACAGACACTGAGTTATATGGATCATTTTCCAGTGACAGGAATTTTGTTGAGTTGTGGTATTTTGCAGAAGATTCTTATTTGTTCTATTTTTTTTAACTTACTACATTTTTATAACATCGCATATGTTTGGAAATATTTATATTGAATTTTCCCCTACCCCAATTTGCCCATTCAACAAATATATTGTTCTTTTAAAAATATTCATAGCCTTCAGTGGCCAAAGTAAGGGAAAACTTGCTCTCAGGTGATGAAGGCTTGGATGAGGCAAAGTTGGTGAAGATGGAGAAACACAAACAGACTAAGAACACCTTTTGGAGGTAGAACCTATGGAATCCATTCAGAACCTGTGCTGAGTATCGATGATATACCATGCCTGGTTCTAGGCCCTTTGTGTATTCACTCACTTGGTCATTCAACAAATGTTAGCCCTGCCTGCTCTCAAATGTTCAATCCCTGGGTGGGGAAGATCCCCTGGAGCAGGAAATGGCAACCCACTCCAGTATCTATGCTGGGAGAATCCCATGGACAGAGGAGCCTAGTGTACTACAGTTCATGGGGTCACAAAGTATCAGATATGACTGAAGCGATGGATCATGCATGCAAGTTTCAGGAAAAATTCCACCAAACATTCTGCTGCAAGCAGGCATGACAGCATCATTTAGTTGCTTTCTAGTTGTACTCAGGATCTTGCCTTAGGATCTTCAGTCAGCACCTTCCATGAAAGTTTACTCCATGATGAATGAGATAATATTCTATTGGCAGGACCAGCCAATACTGTCTTCTGGTCAGGTGACAAGGGCTCCCAAGAGGTGGAGAGATGTGTGTGAGCAGGGCTCTCTGTCTGGGTGTTGCACTGACACTGTTCCTGAGAGGTCACCTGCCTTGAATACCACTCATTTCACGTGCAACCATTTATCTCCAATATCTCTGTTATTACAAACCCTCTTACATAGGTTTTTTTAAAATGACACTTTAAATGCTGTATGGCTTATTGCTGGACAAGCTATTTCATATGCTGGTTAACTCTCCCAGGAGTTTTGATTCATATTTGAGGTACTTGACATGCTTTTTAATTTCTTCTGGGGTACAGTTTTACTGGTACCTGCATGTCATTGTATGACTATTAAAGTATTTAAAAGTAAATTCCCTAGACATAGAAAGAGTCCAAGTTTTCATATGTAGACTACTATATACATGTATGTATATATATATATATATCTATATATCTTCTTGAGTTTTCTTTTCAACTAGCTCCCTAAGACCTCCTATGAAATTTACAATAGATTCTGCAATTGAGACTTAGCATTTAGTGCAGAGTTCTAATAAGAGAATGTTTGTGGCAGAAGTCCTCCGCGGTTTTCACAGCACAGCAATGGGAGGGTGAGTGATCAGGGCCGCTGCCCTGCCTAACTGCAGGGATCCTCCTCATCTCCCAGTGTATGTGTCCAGGGAATAGCCTGTTTGGAGGGAAGTTAAGAAAGAGTGGGATCCTGTCATTCTTCTCCCCTGAAACATGACATTCCTGCCTCTGCATCATTCCTTTGGCCAATCACCTTTGCCTGAAATGTTCTCCATACTCTTCCCCACAGCTAAATCACAATTCACCCTTAAGAGCTAACCTAAGCACCTCCTTCTCTGGAAACTTTCCCTGGTTCATCACATCCATAACAATTCTCTCCTTTCTCCAAAGTAACGTAGCAGTTGTTGTCTGAATTATTCATTTGATGCTAGTCACCTATTGAGTTTTCTGAAGCTTAACTCTCTACTTTCAATAACTTTATACTTTATTTTTATACTGTAGATGCTGAAGAATTTTTGGCATTTCTTAATTCCAAAATGAGTGATGAAAATGTTTCCAAGACCCAAACGGTTTATGAATCAGACTCTCAGTCTGGACTTAGCAGTAAAGAAAAGGATCGATCAGCAAATGTGGGTCTCTTGGATCATTTTATGAAAATCTTTTTATATTGCAGGAGAGCAATGGTAAGTTGGTCCTTCTTCTTTGTTGTAGTGGACATGAATCTCAGCCCATGAATTTGGGCATGTGTGATATATTTATTTCCTTATTATTCATAATTTTAATTTCAACAGTGAGACTAAACCTGCTGGATTTTGTGTCAGTCATCTGTGAGGCTTGCCACGGTACTGAGGTCTCACACGTGGTAGAGTTGTGAGGGAGATGGTGAACCCCTTTTGTCATTAGTCATCCAATCATCCAGAGCCGAGGTGCCCTTTGTCCTTGTCTACAAAGTCTCCTTGAATATTCAGACACCCCTCTGCTGCTTTCTAGCCACACTTGAGACATGGGCTTCTCCAGTGATACCAGGGGTTCCTCTTTAGACTCTTGCTCCCTCCTGGGCATCGCATGCTCCTTTCTCTCCTCTCGGAAGGGGGAAGATCTTTCTAGGCATGGGAAAGCCCTAACCCTTCCCCCTGACCTGCTTCTACAGGCTATTTGTGTCTTCTCTCAACTGCTTTTCCCTTTTTTCTTCTTAAATGTTATCTGATAGTTTATTAAACTCAGAATAGGAATTAACTACAAAGAAATTAATTTCCTCTTTCTCATAGCAAGAAGTGGAGGTACATCAAACTTCTCAAGAGATGAGAAGAAATCTGTCCTTCTGGACAAGAAAGACTTAAGTTCCTATATTTCTTCATGGAGTAAAGAGTGGCTTTTTAAAATATGCAAAGTCATCTCAGTTCATCTCCCATGGCCATGAACAATGTATCCCATCCTCCTTTCTAGCAGCTTCAGGGCCCTGGAGGGTCTGGGTCCTGCTTACCTCTCAGAACTCAGCTCCTCTTTCCTTGGCACAGTCTACTCTCCCCTCTGTGGTTCTGAAAGCACTAAGTGTGCTTCAGACCCTCCCTCTTCAGTCCTCAGGTTCACCATCCATGCTCTGCGCCTCCTGTTCTCTCAGCCCCAAATGCCCTTCTCCTCCCGATGACCCCGCCCCTCCTCCACGTGACTTGTTCAACTCAGCAATCTGGGCTCTGCTCATGTGTCACCTCCTGAGAGGACTTCTCTCCTGACCACCCGGTCGTCTCACCCTTACCGGGTGAGCAGTTTCTACTTTAATTTCCTTTATGACACTTATCATTCCCTGAAATTGTACTTTGATATATCTGCTTAATAGTGTTGGATTTTCCTAATCAAAAGCAGCACAAGGTCAGGCCCAGTTTCCCTTGCTCACTGAGACATTCCCAGCGCTTAGAACAATGGGCGTGTTGGAGTCCTAGCTCATCATTTAGTAGAGTCATAACCCAGGGCAAGTTAGCCGCATGCCTCCATTTCCTCATCTGTAAAATGAGAATACTAGTGCATACTTACTTCATAGGAGTTGTTATATAGAATGTTATGTTAGCATATAAATGCCTTACCAAGGTGTCTAGCACTGTAAGTAGCATATAACAAATGGTGTTAGTTACTTTTATTACTTAGAGTGTTAGCAGAAAAGTGAAGTCACTCAGAGATCTGTAACTTTGGCATCTTTTGAATGTTGTGGTTGTCTTAGGTTCTTGCTCACCGTGGTGGCTATTGGACTCTGCTTCAGAACTGCTGTCGGGCCCTTTGGAACTTTACTCAGGAGCTACAAATACTGCATAAACAAGCAGTGGATCTATATAAGACATTTCCTATTAGCCAGGATAGTTTCCTCTGTATCTCTGTTTTACCATTCTATTTGGGAGCAGAATTACTTATTGACATGTTAATAGAACTACAGAATACTGATTCTATTGAGGTAAGAGTATTTGGGCAATTCTTTTTATTGTAGTTGATTAACAATTTTTTTTGTGTACCATACAGCTTGGGATAAGTAGAAATTTTATATTTTGCTTGAGTTGTTTTTTGGTTTGTCTTAATTTTATTTGCTTTGTTATTTGGTTCACAGTATATAATATGCACTGATGTTAATTATAAATACCTGCCTGAAAATCAGTTTCATAAATGGAAAAGAAAGTAGCATTTATTGAGCTCCAGCTTCTACAGAAACTAACCAAAATACATTTAATCTTCATAGCAATCATTTGACAGAGAAAAAAAGAGACCCTAAAACAGATCATGTAGCTTGTTGGTTGATACTTGTTTTAGTCCCTGTTCTATTTCTTTAGATGTAGAATTTACAACCATTTCAAATCTACCACACTATAATTTAAAGTATGAAAATAAAACTGAAAAAAAGCAAACCTCATATAACTTAAACACATTAAAAATTAGTAAACACATAAATATTTTGATTCATGGGGTTTATAATGTTTTCAGATGTAAAATATATGATAATGATAGTACAAAAGACTGGGAGGGCAAATAAAATGAAACTGTCAAAGTTTTTAAATTTTATATAAATATAAAATGATACAGTATTAACTTTAAGTGGAATGTGGTCAGTTAATTATACATTTAATAATCCCCCAAGTAACTGCCAAAAAAGTGATATAGCTGAAAGGCCAAATGAAAGCTAAAACTAAAACGGAAAAGTGAATAATAGTCAGTTAACTAAAGAAAGCAGGGAAAGAGGAACACAATTACATGAAACAAATAGAAAATGGCAAATAACCTAACCCAATTATATCAATAACTGTATTAAATATAAGTAGACTAAATACCCCAGTTAAAAGGCAGAGATTATCTGGATTAAAAAAAGAAAAACGTGTACTTGTCCATAAGAGAAGCATTCTAGATATGAAGAAACAGATAGATTGAAAATAAAACAATGGAAGAATTATACTATAAAAATAGTTAGCATAGAAAGGTTGATGAGGCTATATTTACATTAGATAAAATGATCTTCAAGTCAAAAAGTATTTTGAAAGATAAAAGAGGACATTTCATAATGAGAAGAAGCTCAATTAATCAGAAAGACATACTAATCATAAATGTGTATACACCAAATAACAGAGATTCAGAATATACTTTAGACACCCAAAGCTTGAAGAACTTTCTGCTTGGTGGACACATTGATGTACCAAGCAGATCTCACGCCCTGAATCCATGGGAAGAGGTCACAGAAGTGCCTTATCCTAGACCCATCCAGACCTGGCCCATCTTGCATTTGGCTATTTTTGGGTTGTATCCTTTATAAGAACACTGTGTCAGTGAGTTCTGATGAGTCGTTCTAGGAAATTACTGACCCTGAGTTTACAACTGGTCAGTCAGAAGTTCAGGTGCCCCGGGACCTGTGACTGGCTTCTCCAGTGAGCACTGACCCCTTGAGCCTCTGGAGTCTGACCCTGGCTGTGGGGTCGTTGGTGTTAGCACTGATGTGCAGTACTGCTGTGGGGTCGTTGGCGTCAGCACTGATGTGCAGTACTGCTGTGGGGTCGTTGGCGTCAGCACTGATGTGCAGTACTGCTGTGGGGTCGTTGGCGTCAGCACTGATGTGCAGTACTGCTGTGGGGTCGTTGGCGTCAGCACTGATGTGCAGTACTGCTGTGGGGTCGTTGGCGTCAGCACTGATGTGCAGTACTGCTGTGGGGTCGTTGGCGTCAGCACTGATGTGCAGTACTGCTGTGGGGTCGTTGGCGTCAGCACTGATGTGCAGTACTGCTGTGGGGTCGTTGGCGTCAGCACTGATGTGCAGTACTGCTGTGGGGTCGTTGGCGTCAGCACTGATGTGCAGTACTGCTGTGGGGTCGTTGGCGTCAGCACTGATGTGCAGTACTGCTGTGGGGTCGTTGGCGTCAGCACTGATGTGCAGTACTGCTGTGGGGTCGTTGGCGTCAGCACTGATGTGCAGTACTGCTGTGGGGTCGTTGGCGTCAGCACTGATGTGCAGTACTGCTGTGGGGTCGTTGGCGTCAGCACTGATGTGCAGTACTGCTGTGGGGTCGTTGGCGTCAGCACTGATGTGCAGTACTGCTGTGGGGTCGTTGGCGTCAGCACTGATGTGCAGTACTGCTGTGGGGTCGTTGGCGTCAGCACTGATGTGCAGTACTGCTGTGGGGTCGTTGGCGTCAGCACTGATGTGCAGTACTGCTGTGGGGTCGTTGGCGTCAGCACTGATGTGCAGTACTGCTGTGGGGTCGTTGGCGTCAGCACTGATGTGCAGTACTGCTGTGGGGTCGTTGGCGTCAGCACTGATGTGCAGTACTGCTGTGGGGTCGTTGGCGTCAGCACTGATGTGCAGTACTGCTGTGGGGTCGTTGGCGTCAGCACTGATGTGCAGTACTGCTGTGGGGTCGTTGGCGTCAGCACTGATGTGCAGTACTGCTGTGGGGTCGTTGGCGTCAGCACTGATGTGCAGTACTGCTGTGGGGTCGTTGGCGTCAGCACTGATGTGCAGTACTGCTGTGGGGTCGTTGGCGTNTAGAATCTGGGAGCCACAACTACTGAAGCCTGCATGCCCTAGAGCCTGTGCTCCTCAACAAGAGAAGCCACCGCAATGAGGAGTGTGTGTGCTGCAACTTGAGAGTAGCCCCTACTTGCTGCAACTAAGGAAAAACTCTTGCAGCAATGAAGACCCTGCACAGCCAAAATAAATAAACTTTTTAAAAAAGAAAGAAATAAAAGATCCCATGAACTCAATCAGAGGCAGACTTGAAGAACAGAGACCAGAAAGAATAAAGCCTTTTATGAGAGAGTTTGAAAAATAAATCAAGCATTTCCTTGCTAATGTTTAATACCAGTTGTTTATTGGTGAAGATATGAATCTAGATAGTATGGTTGCACTACTAGACTACCATAAGGATGGTATCACCCCATGTATGATTTTCTTTATGAATGGTTTAGAAATGGAGAAATGTTAAGAAATCTGGCAATAACTTTAGATCTATCACCTATAATCATAAATTATTCCGATTTTCATCCACACAGCAAGAGAACTTAGATAAATGGAACTGGTGTCATTTGAGTTCTTTGACTTTTGATTATTAGATTACTAGGGAGGAGCTTATAACATCAGCAAAATGACATCTATCTTTTATTGAGCATGTTATGTGCCAGACACTATGCTAAGGGGGCAAATTCACATAGGTCATGTATGTCACACCTATTATTCATACCTTCACAAGCAGATGATTTTCAAGGTCTCTTCCAAATTCAAGGACTATGAATCTCATGGGAGGGAACATTTATCCTTTACTTTTGTTGAGGCAAGTGGAAGCACTCCTGGGCTTTACTACTTTTGTTGATACCTACTCTCTCCTATGCATGTTATTGTTGAGGTTACCTTTAATGGTAACACCAAATTAGGAGAGGCTAGACTTGGTTTGTTGTTATTGTTGTTTAGTCTGTTGTTTAGGATTGTAGCCTGCCAGGCTCTTCTGTCCGTGGGATTTCCCAGGCAAGAATACCAGACTGGATTGTCATTTCTTTCTCCAGGAGATCTTCCCAACCCAAGGATTGAACCCATGTGTCCTGCGCTGGCAGGCAGATTCGTTACTGCTGAGTCACCAGGGAAGCCCTACTAACTTTATTGGGCGGTAGTCTGGCCAGTGCGTGCGTGCTAAGACGCTCAGTCGCGTCTGACTCTTGGCGACCTCATGGACTGTAGCCCACCAGACTCCTCTGTCCATGGGATTCTCCAGGCAAGGACACCGGAGTGGGTTGCCATGCCCTTCTCCAATAGTCTGGCCAGTAGGTGGATCTAAAGGGTTTTGCTAATAAACACATGAAAAGATGTTCAACATCACTCATTATTAGAGAAATGCAAATCGAAACTGCAATGAGATATCACTTCACCCCAGTCAGAATGGCCATCATCAAAAAGAATCTACAAACAATAAATGCTAGAGAGGATGTGGAGAAAAGGGAAGCCTCTTGCACTGTTGGTGAGAATGTAAATTGATACAGCCAGTATGGAAAACAGTATGGAGAGTCCTTGAAAAACTAGGAATAAAACCACCGTATGACCCAGTAATCCCACTAGGAGGCATATACCCTGGGGAAACCAAATTGAAAAAGACACATGTACCCCAATGTTCATTACAGCACAAGTTACAATAGCTAGGACATGGAAGCAACTTAGATGTCCATCAACAGATGAGTGGATAAAGAAGCTGTGGTATGGATAGACAATGAAATATTACTCACCCATAAAAAGGAGTGCATTTGAGTCAGTTCTAATGAGGTGGGTGAGCCTATAGTCTATTATACAGAGCGAAGTAATTCAGAAAGGGAAAAATGAATATTGTATAGTAACGCATATATAAGGAATCTGGAAAGATGGTACTGATGAAATTATTTTCAGGGCAGCAAAGGAGACACAGACATAGAGAAGAGACTGATGGCCACGGTAAGGGGGAGGAAGGAGAGGATGGGATGCATGGAGAGACTAACATGGAAATATATATTACCATGTGTAAAATAGACAGCCAATGGGAATTTACGGTATGATTGGGGAACTCAAATCTGAACTCTGTAACAGCCTAGTGGGGTGGGACGGGGAGGGAAGAGGGAGGAATGTTCAAGAAGGAGGGGACATATATATATATACCTATGGCTGATTAACGTTCATGTTTGGCAGAAACCAACACAACACTGTAAAGCAAGTGTCCTTCAATTAAGAATAAACAAATTTTTAAAATTAAAAGAAAGCATCTCTAGGGTGTATCAAATGAAGCAGGGACTTACAGGAAATGAATACAATAGTTACATAGTAACTCTTTAATTTTGGTGAAAAGAGGGTCTTCTAGAAGAATTTTTCTTCCCTGAGTTTGACATTTGCATCAGGGAACTGGGCAAATTTTTGTACAAACTGAATGTAACCAATGCATTAAGGAAATCTAATTATTTGTATATACTGTAGCCTGTTTTCCCTCATAACCTTGCCTTCTTTATTGGTTTAATGTTTTTACTCAAGCAGTGACTATGTGCCGGGAAGTATAGTGGTGAATAACCGTAGGTGGCTGCTTATCTTTAGGCTCAAATAATTAAGATTCCATGAACCCAGAAGCCCAGTTTCCGGGTCATGCTTCCGCAGTTCAGTGCCCACGTGTGCTCACTGGCCGCTGTATGGACAGCACAGAGGCAGCGCATTTCCCTCGTCACGTAAGAGCTGTTGGACAGGATCGTCAAGCTTTGATTTGCATAATAAACACATTCAAGTTTTTTCTGTTCAGTTCTTTTCCATGTTATGTTTTTAGCTATCCATTCCGTGTTCAGACCAAACATCTAGTGAAATATGAAATTTCAAAGTGTTCTTTCGATGTGCCACTTGCAGACTATTGATGAAAAAGGAGAGTTCAGTGTTCCGAGTTGCTATGGAAATATTAAGAATGATAACGGTGGTTCCAGCCTTACCTTTGAGCATCCTCTGGATGACGTCAATGTGGTCGATTTGAAATGGATCCACGACTTTGTATTAAAATCTCTGGAACTTGTCTATCAAGTAGAAAAATGGGAAACACTCGTATCACTTGCCATTCAGTTTAATACAATTTCGCAGTGAGTACCACTGGCGGGGGGGGGGGCTAACAGTGATAGACTTCACTGAGAAGAACGTGGCTTTACTAATGTTTGTTTCTAATATATACTTTACTCTTATCCAGTGAAAGATATACAGAGCAAGTGACTCCACTCCTGGTTTATGCTCAGCGCCAGCTTCTACTGCAAATATCCAAGTGCAAGGGCCCAGACATCAGCCAACAGGCTTGTGTAAGATATGAGGCTGAATACAAACAGAAGGTAAGTTTGGCTCTGTTAATCATGCAGTTGTGATTTCTTATTAGTATGGATATAACTAGCAAGATTTGGGATAAGATAGATGTTGCTATTTTCACTTAGGCATTTATCATTCAAATCAGCAAACATTGTTGAGAATTGCTATTTGCAAGTATTTTCCAGATGCAGAGAAAACAAAAATTAAGTCCTTGTACACAAGGACCTTATATCCAGGTCAAAGCTGATTTACCCATTAGGCACAGTGAGAAGAGTGCTGGAGACATAGCACTTTTTTAGGAGCCATTAAATGTTTTGATTTCTTTTACAAAAAGAAGAAAAAAGAAACTTTTATGTTAAAGACAATGTTTCAGTTTTAATAATATTTTCTGATGGAGCGGTAGGCCTGTGAAGGCAAAAGTACCTAGGGCTCACGAATGACATGTTGCAGCTTTAAGGTGGGGGAGGAAAGGGATACATCTATTCTCTCATTTATTAGCTTAATAAATATGTATTGGCTCCCTAAGATTAGAGCTGCTGAATTCAATTGTGCAGTCTGTGTTCTGCCCTAGGGCACTTGGCATTTGTTGGGGGTGCTGAATCCAGCCCCTGCCCCACACATTAGTCCATGTGGGCTTGAGGGGCTTGCAGCCCCCCAGAGAAGGCTCCCATTTTTTCCTTCTTACAACGGCTGCTTATGGCCTTGGCATATTCTTGCCTTTTGCATATTCTATGTAGAGAGAGCTGTGTTCTTGCTTTTTGGAGTTTAGTTTCAGAAGCATGGAGGTAGGACCAGTGGATAGACATGTAAACAGATAAAAAGATTTATGATCATCATAAATTCTCTGAAGAAGATAAAATAGGTATGGGGTAGAGATAGGCTGGGGTGAGAGATGGAAAAGTTGAGCAGAGGTGATCCGGAAGGTCTCTTGGAGATGGTCACATTTGGTGGGAAGGGGTCAGCCCTATAGTGGAAAAGAACATTCTAGTCTAAGGGGAGAACAGGATCGAAGACCCTGCAATGGGACAGGAAGGAGGCCCAGGCCCTGCCCTGCCGCAGACAGGAGAGATGAGAAGGAGAAGGGGCTGCTCTGTCTGCATCTTCTTGGTGCTTCCTCCCCTTCTCCCCAGTGTCTCAGCGTTCGCACAGCCCAACGCTCTGTTCTTGGTCCTCCAGCACTCTATCTGGGTGCTCTCCGCTGGACAGTTAACTCAACCTGTGGCTCAAAGTGAATATCTTTATGATGATGGCTACCAAAATTACATCTCCTGTCTAGACCTTTCTCCTGTATTCTGTGCTGATGTATCTAACTGCCTGTACCAGTCAGGGTTCAATCAAAGAAGCAAAACTAATGACAGCTGTCTGTCTCTCCCCTCCCCAAATATCCACATTGATTTTTCCTACACCTTTCCCAGTCTTGACTGAATATCACATTCTCTGTGAAGACACTTTCCTCACGGCCTTGTTTAAATGTATGTATCTGTTTGTCTGTTTTTCTCTACAGCATTTATAACTCTTAGTCTACTTTATCATGTACTCTATATTTTGTTTATTGTCTATTTCCACTAGAATAAGTACCACAAGAAGAGGAGTTTTTGCTTATTTTGTTTTCTGCTATATCATCTGTGAGCTTGGAGTAGTGCCTGGTACATAATAGGTATTCAATAAAGATTTTTAAAATGAAGCTGGAGAAGTGGGAAGGACTAGGTCAAGTAAGATCTTAATAGGCTGGGGGAAGGAATTTGCATTTTCTTAGACTGTCCTTACATCTCATCATAGAGGTAACTACAAGGGATGATAATAAAGAAGCATCATCTTCATCAGACTGGGGTTCAAGGATGGTTGTATTTTGAGCAGGGGTGTGGGATTTGAGGTGGAGAAATGGAGAGAAGAGAATCTTGGACCTTATAAAAGAATTACCTTAAGTCTAAAAATGCTCTGTTTCATATATTTTATCATTTTAGGACTCAATAATCTGTTAAAAAATACTTTAAAAAATACTACAGAGGATGTTAGTTCTGAAAAACTCTACCAGGGAAGTTTAAATAGTGTTAATTATGAGTAGAGGGGAAATCTGCCATTGAAAAAGCAGCCTCTGTTTTAAATATGTTTCAACTTACATAATGGGAGATATATTTAGATGTGAATTATAGAACATCAGAGAAATTATTCTAATTGCTCTACATAATTTGCCTAATGCTTTTCCAGCTGTGGTATACATAAGAAATATGAAAAATTATGTAGCCACTTTCTTTCCCCCAAAACTTCTCATGATTGAATGTTACTCTGGAGCTTTTATTTGTAGCATCTTTCTGTATCTCTTCTTTTTGGTTAATGAAAAATAAGATGAACATTTCAAGTAAGCAAAAATTTTGGCTCTAAATACCTAAGTGATATTTGTTTTCTCCTTTCTTTTAAAAGATAACCTGCCGAAATTTCATTGGGATACAGCTCAAGATTAATCCTCCAGCCAATAAAGTGACAGCTATAGGACAGCGAACAGATGTCCTTAAAAAGCTTATCTCTTCAGGTTGGAACCAATCTTAGCTTGAAGCTCTTTCTCTCTTCTTCAAAACAAGATTTGCTGTTGTGTTCTGCATGTCCAGTCTCCTGTAATTAAAGTGTTTGCAAAATCTCTTTTGCAGATTTGACTGAAAATAATCCATTTGATATTTACCATCTTATATTGCTATAAATATCACTTAAGGGGAATTAAAATTCATGTCTTTTATTAGTTTAATCTGTAAGTTAAAGAAGGGAAATAAGAGAAGAGGGAGAAAGGATATTGATGGGAAAAAGTAAAGATGAGAAAAGACTGTTAACTTGTTGGTTTTTAAAAAAGAGTACGGCAGAAGATTCTGAAACATCATGACTCCTTTGCTTTTAGCTGGTGATCCCTCTTGGAATGTTTTGGCAACGTGGCTTATAGGAATGAAGTGATGGGAAGGGATGAAAATGGAAATAATTCCTTTCTCAGTGGTGGTTTTCCTGTCTCTGATTTGGGTAGAGGAAAGAAATGCAAGTCTTCCCTATGATATCTCCTGCATTGACAGGTGGGTTCTTTACCACTTGCATGGCCTGGGAAGCCTTGATGTGTTTGGATTCTTTCATTGATTTATCTATTGATTTTAGGTATGTATATGTGTATGTATTTATGCATTCATTCATTCATTTCTTGAGTCAGGCAGCCGTTCAGTCATTCAGCAAATATTTATTGAGTTTCTACCTTGTGTTAAGTGCTATACAGGTCCTGAGAAACTGGGAAAGATTGAAGGCAGGAGGAGAAGGGGATGACAGAGGACAAGATGGTTGAATGGCATCACCAACTTGATGAACATGAGTTTGAGCAAGCTCCAGGAGTTGGTGATGGACAGGAAAGCCTGGCATGTTGCAGTCCATGGGTCACAAAGAGTCGGACACAACTGAGTGACTGAACTGAGTGACTGACTGAGGTCCTGAGAATACAAAGATGAATGAGACTAAAGATTTGTTACATGATTTACAGCCCACTGAAGGAGACCAATAAGTAAGCCAGAGATGATAGTGTAGAGTGGTAAGGTCTATACCGTTGTGACCCTGCTGCTGCTATAAACAATAATAGTTAATGGCTAGCATAATTTTTGAGAGACTCTATGTAATTTAGTGGGGTTATCATGAAAGTAAAAGGCAAAAGTTGAGAGTAGAAAGGTTGGCAGGAATTGGATAATAAGGGGTCTTAGAAGGTAGGGTAAAGAGACTCAGATTTATCAAGGGAGCTAAAGGGAGCTAGTTACAAGGGTTTAAAGAAGGAAAATGAAATGATCATATTTGTGTTCTTGAAAGACACTTCAGCAACGTGGGGAATAAGTTGGAAGGAGGCCGCACGGTGGCAGGAGAGCTGCTGCTGCCTGCTTATGGGTTTACAGATGTAATGCGGTCCTGGACTTAGACAGTGAGAACAGACGGGTGGGCAGCCATGTGCTCGTTGGGTGAGGGGGATGCACGAGGAAGGGAGGAGCTCGAGTTGCTTTGGTTTCTGGCTTGGGTGGCTAAGTGGTTGTGGCATCTTCACTCTATCAAAAAGTACTGAAGTGGGGGGCAGGTTAGAGGAAAACATCTCTTTTCTATTACTGAGTTTGAGGTGTCTGAATAATAGCTAAGTAGAATCATCCAGTCAGTCAGTGATCAATGCAAAGAAATAGAGGAAAACAATAGAAAGGGAAAGACTAGAGATCTCTTCAAGAAAATTAGGGACACCAAGGTGAACTTTCATGCAAAGATGGGCACAATTAAGGACAGAAATGGTATGGACCTAACAGAAGCAGAAGATGTTAAGAAGATGTGGCAAGAATACACAGAAAAACTATACAAAAATGACCTTCATGACCCAGATAATCACAATGGTGTGATCACGCTCCTAGAGCCAGATATCCTGGAATGTGAAGTCAAGTGGGCCTTAGGAAGCATCACTATGGACAAAGCTGGTGGAGGTGATGGGATTCCAGCTGAGCTATTTCAAATCCTGAAAGATGATGCTGTGAACATGCTGCACTCAATATGCCAGCAAATCTGGAAAACTCAGCAGTGGCCACAGGACTGGAAAAGGTCAGTTTTCATTCCAATTCCAAAGGAAGGCAATGCCAAAGAATGCTCAAACTACCACACAATTGCACTTATCTCACACTAGCAAAGTAACGCACAAAATCCTTCAAGCCAGGCTTCAACAGTATGTGAACCGTGAACTTCCAGATGTTCAAGCTGGTTTTAGAAAAGGCAGAGGAATCAGAGATCAAATTGCCAACATCCATTGGATCATTGAAAAAGCAAGAGCATTCCAGAAAAACATCTACTTCTGCTTTATTGACTATTTCAAAGCCTTTGACTGGGTGGATCACATCAAACTGTGGAAAATCCTTAAAGAGATGGGAATACTATACCACCTGATCTGCCTCCTGAGAAATCTATATGCAGGTCAAGAAGCAGTAGTTAGAACTGGACATGGAACAACAGACTGGTTCCAAATCAGGAGAGGAATACATCAAGACTGTATATTGTCACCCTGCTTATTTAACTTATAGGTAGAGTACATCGTGAGAGACGCTGGACTTTGCTTTCGCCACCTGATGCAGAGAACTGACTCATTTGAAAAGACCCTGATGCTGGGGAAGATTGAAGGCGGGAGAAGAGGATGACAGAGGATGGGATGTTTGGATGGTATCACCAACTCAATGGACGTGAGTTCGAGTAAACTCTGGGAGTTGGTGACGGACAGGGAGGCCTGCTGTGCTGCCATCCATGGGATCAATAAGAGTTGGACACGACTGAGTGACTGAACTGAACTGAACTGAACTGATGATTGGATACACCAGTGAGGCACTCAGAAGATTTGTATTTTTGTCACCAATACATTGGTAGTGGTTGAAATCAGAGGCTTGAACAAAGTCACCCAGAGAGTGTTCTTAGGAATATGGACCTGGGGATGCCATCAGTTTGGAATCTGTGTCAGTCAGAATGGGCTGGGCTACATAGCAGTCATGAACAATTGCTGAATCTCATTGCCATAACCCAAGGAAAAGTCTGTTTTTTGCTCATGCTACTGTGTTCAGTGAAGTGAGCAGCTCATCGTGGACTGATGGAATGTCCATCTTGACACAGGCTTCCGTGATTGTTTTAGAGGCAGGAGACAGAACACTCGTGTTATCCTCTAGGACAGCTATAACTGGAGGCATATAGGAAATGGTTAAGACTTTGAAGTGAGACCACACGCATATACCATACACTTTGCTCTAAGGGATTTACGTGGTTTGTTTTATTATTATAGGAACCACAGTAAAATTCATTGGACGTCAGGCACTCTGATAAGTGTTTTGTGAGTATTAGCTTACAACTGCCTGATGAGGAAGGTTTGCTGTTGTCTCCATTTTTTAGCCAGTAAAAATAATGTTTTGTATATTTTTCATAGTTTATATTATAAGTGAGATGATGGCTCTTCAAACTGATACTTGAAGGTGACACATTTTCTGCAGTTTTATTGGCTAAAGTCATGTGGCCACATCTAACTTCAAAAGGGGAGGGTAGTGTGATTGTACTCTGTACTCCAAGAATAAAGACGACTATGTGAAGAGCCCTAGTGACTGATGGAAAAGACAGAGGAGAGCCCATACCCGAAAGAAACTGGGATGTGGCTCAAGAGGTGGAGGTGCAGGAGCTGAGAGTGGAACAAATAAGGCCGAGGAGAGAGAGAGTGTATGTGTCAGCAGTCAGAGAGGTCAGCTAAGATGCGGGGTTCTGTCTATTGTATGTGGGAGGTCACTGTCCCTGGCCTTTCTGCTGTGACACCCTCACCTCAGGGTCTTGCTCTAGCTGTTTCTCCTTCCTGAAGTGCTCTTCCCCCATCCAGATGGCTCTCTGATACACCCCTCACTTCCTTACAGTCTTTGTGTGTGTCTCATCTTTTCAGTGAGGCTTACCCTGACCATTCTATTTGTTTTTCCATTTATTTTTATTAGTTGGAGGCTAATTACTTTACAATATTGTAGTGGTTTTTGCCATACATTGACATGAATCAGCCATGGATTTACATGTGTTCCCCATCCTGATCCCCACTCCCGCCTCCCTCCACATCCCACATCCCTCTGGGTCTTCCCAGTGCACCAGCCCTGAGCACTTATCTCATGCATCCAACCTGGGCTGGTGCTGACCATTCTATTTGAAACTGCATCTTGCTTCCTTCCTTCCAGTTCCCCTTACTCTAATAAATGTATTCTTTTTTTTCCCCCTGAAGCACTTATAGCCACTTATCACATTCTATAACTCAGTTTTTAAAAAATTGTATTTATTGACTACTAGTCTGTCTCCACTGATGAAAGGTAAGCTCTGTGAGGTCAAGGACGATTGGTTTGTTCATCGATGGAATCCACATGTCTTCATCAGTACCTGACACGTGGTAGGAACTCAGTGTCCACTTGCGGAACAACTGACTCTACCAGTAGTGGTTTCAAAGCAGTGGTTGTGAGCGCGATGGCAGTGTTGTGCGTGGTGGGTGTGGCCGTGGGAAGCTGTGCCTGCACAGAGGTGCTGACTGCGTGCTGCCTTTGGTGAAGCTTAGAAGTGACGAGAAAGAAGCGGGAGCAGCCAGAAGGGAAAGTGGAGACCAGGGGGTCTTTGTTTTACTTGTGTGGTTGTTTTAGTAGAAGAAAAGGAGGATATTTCTATATTAAATGGAGAGAGTCAGGAGAGAGGGACAGCCAGGAGAGAAAAATATTCGATCAGGCAAGGAGCTTGAGGATAAACAAGGCAGAAAATGGGATATACGGGGCTTAGGAGGTTGGGACACCCCTGATGCTAGATAAGAAAGGGAGGAGAGAACAGGTTCAAGCACAGGAAACTTTGTAGATGGCAGTGGTAGAAGTTGAAGGCATCTTTACCGGGCACTAGAGATTTTCTTAATGAAGCAGGGGGTTGAGAGCACAGCCAAGGCTGAGATTCCAGGAGGGATGAGAGGTGGTAGACTGGAAAATAGGAGAAAGGAAGATAGGAGGTCTGCAGAGC